CTTTTTTGTGCCGCCCCAAACACTATTATTAGTAATTGAAATGGTTGACATCTACACTCCTGTCCTTGCGACTTTTTAAAGCTTATGAAAACAACTAAAACAACATGAGGACCTTTTTTTTAGAAAGTATGTAAACTAAAACAATATGAGGACTTTTTTTAGCAAATATTGAAAGCGGATCCTTATCGTCACCCATTATAGGTGGGGCAACTATAGTATCATCCAAAAATATTATGGCCCGTGTAGCATAACAAACAGATTTATGTGGCCCGAAAGAAAAAAAGGTTGAGTACAGCTGGTCTAGATATTACTCCATTTAAAATAACGGTAAAAGGTCGAGAAACGCCGCACTTGACGAGACCACTTGTCCCCTACGTATTTTGGGGCGCTGATTACGAAAATAAGGGTTAAAACTGGCAGCAATGGTTGAAACACCCCTAAAATTGCAGAAACCACCCCTAAGTAGGGTTTTTTTTACTGTACTTGTTGTTTTGCAAACTAACTCATCTCATATGTTTTTTGGGGCGCTGATTACGAAAATCGGGGTTAAAACTTGCAGCAATGGTTGAACCACTCCTAAAATTGCAAAAAACACCCCTAAAATTGCACCATTATGTAGGGGAATCTATTTCTCTAGAGAAATAGTCGATATTTGGTCTAGTGAAATAGTCGTTCTAAATATAACAGGACCTTGATCAAAATTCTGCTATTTTTGTTGTTGCTAAATTTCTCGAATATTTCTAGAACTTTAAGAGTCAGTCTTTTTACCTTCAGATAAAGTTCCAGTTAACTAACCAACGGATATATTATCCGAGAGTTACTATCTTACAAGTAAGTAAATCACTTAGTCAACGATCTTATACCTATCTTGCTCCTAAGATACATAATGAACTACCAGAATCAATAAAAACAATTAAATGTAAAATTAAAATGAAAAAAAGCCTTAAAAAATTTATTTTAGAAAATCCACGACAAAAATTTAAAGATATAATAGAATATAGAAATACTTAACTTGCGTCTGTTTCTAGTCTCAGCTTTAGTTTTTTGAATTAATTGTTTTTTTAACACTCAATAATATAGATTTTGGTTGTCACGTTTTCCCTTAAATTCACTTTAATCTTCTAATTATAAAAATGGATCAATTAAATTTCTCTTATATATTTATATATTTATCCTATTTTATTTATTCTAATTTTAGTTAATTTAGTTTTAGTTATTTGTATATTTTAATCTTGTGTTTTTTTTATCTTTACAACATTAATGTTTTTAAATAATAATTTATTGTACTTTTTTTTAAGTTTCATGTATTATAATCAAAACAAGTGAGTACTCACTTATCGAGTGTACCTTTATTTATTCAATTACTTTTAATTTTTAAGCTACCATTTGTATTTTTATAACTATATATTTTTTGATGAATAAACTATAGACTATTACAGATAATTAGGTTTCCGTCTTTTCAAGAGAAATAATCTGTAGGGTAGTTATCTGGTACTTTATAACGTTCTGTGGTCATGTATCTACCTTCATATCAATGCGATATGTCACTCTCACTGTCACTTGTTGTGCTTATTTCGTTCTGTAACTTATTTGATAGAGGTTTTTGTATTTTTCTGAAAATATTTGTTATTTAAAACTCCATAAAAAGAAAAGATCGATAGATCGACCAACTTTTAATAGGCAAGATGATGCTTGAAACACAAAGCAGTACTGCAAAATAAAAAATAATTCTGGGGTCTGTTGTATTGTAATTAACATAGATTGTTCATTTGAAAAAATTAAATTTTTCACAGATGTAGTTTTTTATTGTGTGTATTATTAGTGCCAATGGAATTAGTTTACACTATTTACCATATACTATTTTATATATGTGTCGCTTATTAAATTTTTAGAATATATTTTATCGCGTTTTACTGTATTATGTATGTATTATAATTGTTTATCTATGATTACAATTTTTAAATTTTGTGTTTAATTTTGCAATAAAATAAATAAAACATTTAAAACTAGTTTTCTTTTTTTTCTGTAAATCTTTTTGCAAAACCCATTACAATATTCAAGTAAACGAATGCAAACCACTTTTATAATGAACGACACATATGTAAAGGCTGTTTTTGTTCAATATATCGCTAATTTTTTCAAGTATTTTTTCAAGAATAAATATAAAATTATACGACACAAATAAGTAAACCACTATTTACAGAAACACATCTTCAACAACGTCCATTAAAGCAAATAAAATAATGTGTTGACCCATACCATATATTATTATCATGTACCTACTTATCCATCAGTTAACTACTTTATCAGGAAGTTCAGAGGTAAGATAAATTATCTTTCAGTTTAGACATATTTATCTGCTGGTTAGTTTTATCCAAAAGTAAAAATATGACTTTTTAAGTTATCTGAGAGATAACAATTACCTGACACTTTATCTGAAGGTGAAAAGATCGAACCTAAGTAATGCAATTGTACAACTATAATTTGGGCGAAATCCTGATGTTTTGTAAGAGGATACAATAATTTTAGGAGATTTGTTCATTTAACGGTATCTTTTCATGGTTAATTTTAGCTTGTTACATACATTTTATATACAGGGTAATTAATTATTACTTAATTGGAAATATTTCAACTATAGAATCCTGAGCTCAATTTATGAAGATTTAACCCAATTGACTTAGATAAAATGTGTCTCCATTCTGAGTTACAAGGTGTTTTATTTAAAAATTTAAAAATTATTTCTGTCCACTACTTTAAAACTATTTGACGTATTTTAATATTTGGCGGGAAGTGTAGATTGACATTTAGCATTGTAAAAATGAACTGAAAAATTATTCTGGGAGTAAATTGGAAGCTTCCCAAAAAAGTTCAAATTTATTTTTTCATAGAGTGAGCCGTTCTGAAGATATTCAAACTTAAAGTTGCAAATGTACGAAATTATGACTTTTATTTTATTAAAATAATACTAATGACTTTTTTTATGTCTTAAAAATTATTTTCTAGAAAAATAGTTGTTTTTGTATAGAAAGATAATAACACTTAGATTAGATTAGATTAGGAGTTGGACGTTATTTGTCCTTGTCCACCGCGACCTTTTCAGATCTATTGTGGGACTCTGTTTGTTTTAGAGTATGTCGTCAAGCCTGGTCTTTTTATTAGACTTAGTAGCTTTAACAGTGGCTCCCGCATGTAGTTGCGTGCAATTGGCTTTTCTTCGGCCAATGTTAGAAACCCCATTCCAACTAGGCCTTCGCATTGGCACAGGACGTGGAATAATGTGTTCTCTTCTTCTTTATAAAACCTGCACAAAGTTGCTTCTTCTGTTGGATTTATGACACTCATGTGCCTTTTGAGGCGACAATGTCCAGTAAGAAGGCCTACTGTTATCCTAACGATTTGACGCTTTTGATCCAGTAGGTTTTTCGTGAACTTGGCCGATCGTTTCTTGATGAACTGTTTGGCCTGCCTCAGTCTTAAATAGTTGTTCCACCATTCCTGAGACTCTTTTTGCATCCATTATTTAAAGGATGCCTTGCACAATGCCTTAGCAACTCCACAGAAGGGTTCGGAGCCTCTCATGGCCTTATCTGAGCCTTCTTTGACTAATTCGTTGGCCTTTTCGTTGCCCTATCTCTCATGGCCTAAAAAAAAATAACACTTACATCTCAATTATTTTTTTTATTATTTTATTTTATTTACTATCAAAAAAAGTTATTTGTGTTTAATAAATTTGTTCAATTATAGATTAAATAAAAGGATTGATTTGTTATTGTGTTGAATTTTGAATTTTTCTTTATTTTTTTTATAGTTTTACCTGAACTATATTATTTTTCATTTTTACAATGCTCAAATATCAAGCTACAAAAATAAGAAAAAAGAAAAAAAAATATTTCCATGTTATTTAAATGTAAAATGGAAAGTTAGGAACAGGCACCACTAAATGGTAATAATAAGAGCTTAAATTTTTAGAGACTTTTTTACCTTCCTGATAGGTTTTAGCCTGTTTTCTACTTGAAAAAAAAATTGCTCAAAAATGACACACCCTAGTGTAGATATTATACACCCTACTAAATTATGTTAAATAAACGTTTCTGGCTACCATTAGAGGCTTACGACAAGGGCAAGTACTGGACAGAAACAATTTTTAAATATTTACACAAAACACCCTGTAACTCAGAATGGAGACACATTTTATCTAGGTGATTTAGGTTAAATCTTTATAATTTGAGCTAAGGATTCTATAGTTGAAATATTTCCAATTAGTAATGAATCACCCTGTATAGGTAATCAAAATAAAACCATCTAATTACGGACCTGTTTACTCTTTTCTGCGCATGCTTGCCAATCCCAACAATAAAAATATGGCTGCCTACTATAATACATTTTTATGTGAGTCTGTGAGTCTGACAAATAAAATCGCAATATAGGCTTAAAGATTACAAGTAATATGTAACTGAATGTTGAAAAAACTTCCATGTTACTATTGGCAGACACCAGACACCAACAAATTGCATTATCCCTTTCTAAAATCCTGCAGTGCACATACCGATTTATTACTAATCTACTCGCATAATATTGATATCGATCACAAAACTGGATCAGTAATTTACTAGTTTCCGAAAATGGATACGCTTAGTAATCCCAGGTAAACGAACAATGGGATCCATAATCATTCTGATCCTAATAAGTTTCCGAAAACGTCATGTTAAACGGCGCCAGTTAGTTATCTATATTTTATTTGTTTATCTGAGACTAATATAAAGCATGTATATTATACGGTTCTAAGGTTAAGTTCACGAATTTGTATTATTGACCACCTACAAAAATTTCTGGCCTCGTCCATGAAAACTCTATCCTTAACCATCTATACAGATTATGTGTGCAACTATTTTAAAATTTTAACAAAATTATTTTATTTAGTAATTTTAACTTTTTAAAATTGTAATTTAATATATAGGTTTGTTCGAAAGTGAAATACCTTCGAACTTTATTAGTTTTATATGGTGTTAGTCAGAAAATTAATCAAGAAAAATTTAATTTTAGGAATAAGCGAATCAGACAGGGCATTTCTCGTTAAAACCGTCAGCATCGTATTCCACGTAGCAGCATCGGTTCGTTTCGATGATTTTCTCCAAAAAGCCATCATCACCAATGTCAGAAGTACCACAGAAATCATAGATCTAGTCGAACAGCTAAATAAAGTCGATGTATTCGTATACGTTTCTACCGCATACTCAAACTGCGATGAAAAAACGATCGATGAACAATTTTATAAGTCATCGTATGATTGGCGGGATGCCATCAGATTGGCCGAAAGTACCGAGGATGATGTTAAGAAAATCACTGATAATATGACTATGAAGTTTATCGAACCTATGCCGAATACTTACGTGTTTACTAAAGGTTTAGCAGAAGATTGCGTCAACGAACGGTGTCTTAATAGATTCCCCACTTGTATAATTAGGCCATCTATTGGTAAGTAGTTAAAACAGACTGACAAAAATAATAAAATGAATATTGGAATAATTTTTTTAATATATAATTTTCAAGGCTTTCCTTTCTTCTTATATTTTTTATCTTCATACTTTTGCTTGCTTGCCATATTGAGTTTAGCTGTCAATTATTAATTTAATAATGAGACATTTTTTATAACCTTACAAAACTTGCTACACTTATGTCATATGTTACCAAAACGTAACTTCTTTTAACAAGGGTAGTAAAGTATAAAGTGCACATTTAAACATACCGAGTAAGCGCAAAGAGTTGTGAAGGTAGAGGTTTTTTCTTTTTAGTGTTTGTTCTGTTTGTTTGCACATTTTTGTACTTATTTAAAAAAAAAAAAAATAAGTTTAAAATGGAAGGCACTGAAAGCGATGTTGTTGCAGATTCACTTGCAAAGATGGTAAATTTAATCAATCTTCTTCCAATTCTAGTGATATCCACTGGATTTTTAAGCGTCATAGAGGCAATACTGTTTGTTTGGTACAAGCAAGGAAATTGAGAAGGGGTGAAGGCTAAAGGGAACTACAATACTATATTTTTAGTGACATCCCTACGATTGGTATTTTTCTATTGACAATACAAAATATTTACTTCATTTGACAACGAGTATAGAATGTGACAGTTTTTACACGAGTGGGAAATAGGATCGCACGAGGCATAATCCGAGTGCGAAAACCACGCAAGTGTGAAAAATCACTTTCACTCAAGGAATGTACAATATTTTTGCTATGGCTGGTTTTAGATTTGTTTTTTCCTATATGCCTCATTGGATAATTTTTAAAGCCTTTTATAGATAATATTTTGTCAAAATTTAAAATATTGTGATTCCATTTGCAAACACTTTTATAGGACGATAAAGATAAAATAACATTAGTAATAAAAAATATTAGTATACAATAATGTTTTTCATTAAGTAGACGGGCTATGTTCATTTGGGGCCATTCCTTATGTAAATTAACATCGGTCGTAGGAAAAATAAATTTACATCATTATAATTGTTGATAAAGAAAAAACATTTTGGATCTACGTCATAAAAAAAATTGCTTGACCACCCTATAACATTACTTAAAAATTGATTGAATACAGTAATAGCAGGCGGCGCTAAACCTATAAAATGCAGGGTGTTAAGTCATAAACTATATATGTGGGGAATTCACATACGAAATTATTAAAGGATTTACCAAATATGTGGGCCAAATTGGGTATTAAAAGACGTAGGTTTTGAGACTTTAACTAAAGGTACTAATTTAATCAAATCTTTTTTAGTAGCGCCAACTATCGAAGAACCTGTGCAAGGGTACATGGATAACTTTAATGGACCAATTACCCTATTTATTGCAGGAGCATTAGGTAACATTCTTTACACATTACGCTGCTTTTTTTTATACAAATAATTCTATGTAAATAAATGAAAAATTTAGAGGCGTCATATATGACATGTGCATAAACCAAATTTTAACTTGTCTATAGATATAGATACAGGATTTAAATTAACCATTTTTAACTAAAATAAAGACGGATTAAATTCTATTTATTATGAAAGTCCTTTGAAGATTATTTCTCTGACAAAAATATACATTAGTAGATATAGAAGTCCTAGCAAAATATTTTTTGGATCTCCATTTTTATATTTTCAGGTATTGCAAAAGTGATGCATCTAGATCCAGATAATATTCTTGATCACGTCTTTGTCGATAATGTTGCCAAAGTCACCATTACAGCTTCTTGGAAACACGGAGTAGAGTACGTATTTTTGAAGTCATACAGGAATGTACGGAAAAATAATGAGACTGTTTTTTCTGACCCGTTTTGTACCGCTTGTATGTTATACAAGTTTGTAGTGTGTCGTGTAGGAACTTTGGTATTCTATAAATCTTATTTGTAAATATCTTCTTCTTTGCCCAATTTATTTTTATGACTAAATAATTTCGTAAATTCTAATTTTGTATTTTGGACCTTGGTCGAAGATGTTTATTAATATATTGAGGTCACTGTGTTGACATAGTGATCCCCACATAAGTTATCCCCACATAATCTTACCTTTAGTTTTGACTTACATGTCATTTTAGTTTAATACTTTTAGGCGAAACTCAAAGCGCCAGAGGTTGAAAAATATTCTATTACAACAATAATTATTCGTTCTAAATTTTAATTTAAAAGTTATGACACCTTTAGTGTAATTTTATTTATTTGTATTATTCTTTATAGAATTATATTAAGGAATTTAAAATATAAAAATATTAAAATATCAACCCCTCTCTAAGATTTTATATATAGCATTCAAAATGGAATAAAAAAAGTCCTTTTTTATTTGTATTATCTATCGATTGGCGTAATAAAATTAAGGAAAACACAAAATTTTTTCCAGCTTTAAAAATATTGAAATATTAACCCCTCTCTAAAATCCTTTTTTCGTATATAGCATTCAAAATGGAATTAAAAATAAAGTCGTTTGTATTTATATTATCTATCGATTGACGTGATAAAATTAAAGAGAGAACAACATTTTTTACAGCTCCAAAAATATTGAAATATCAACCCTTCAAATTTTATAAAGAATAATAAAAATAATTAAAATTATACTGAAGGTGTCATAATTTTTAAATTAAATTTTTAAACGAATAATTATCGTTGTAAAAGAATATTTTTGGACTGCTGGCGCTTTGAGCTCCGGCTGGTTTTGGAGCTGGCTGGCTAACATGACAGGTGAATCCTGCCTATGCATTAAAATTAATATTTAATTTGTTAAATTAAATAAAAATTCTGTCACCGGCTAGATTCGAATGAACATCTACTGCGTATCGATATCAAGCTGTCAAATTAATATTTATAAACTGGATGTACGAATACGGTTCTGGGGATTCTAACTCTACATCAGTCTGATGGATCTGGGCTGTATTTTTAACATATTACCTCCCTGCACTTATCATTAAAACGTTGATGATGATTATAGTTGTAGTTAATTTTATTTACTGCTGTTGATCATATCAACATTTTATTGATAAGTGCAGGGAAGTAATAAGTTGAAACAAATTATATATTTAATAAAATCAATATTTTGTTTGCCTACATTAAGCATAGAGAATACCCTAAATTGGTTAAGTAGATAGAAAAAAAAATCTAAGTGACTTAAAAAGATTACTTCTGAAAAAAAAAGGTCCTCAAGCCAGGTCCCTCCATTTTGTGGGGATAGTACTGTTTTTTTTTATTATGATTATTTTCTTCGCAAAGCCCTCACAAAGGCTTTGCGGAGCCCCAGGGCTCCGTGGAGCACACTTTGAGTAACATTGTTATAGAGAAATACTAAATAGTTTAGAAAACACTATTGAAACCAGTTGTGAAGTTTGAAACGAATAAATTGGCAATGAAATTGATATTTTTGTATTTGATAGTATGTTACTATTTCCACTTCCTGAGAAACGATTCCCCATGAAATAGTAAACAGTTTATAATAATAACCTTTATTTGCTATTTATAACATGTACCAATGACCAAGTCCGATTCTGTTTATTTTCAAATCAACAAATATGGCCGTCGACAGAATTTAAAAATTAAATATTAAATGTAAGTTTCTTTTATCTCTGTCACTTTTCGCACTTTTATTATAAATAAAGCTTTTTACAAAACATATTGGCATTTTCAACGTTAATATCCAAAATTTAAGTCACTAAAATACCAAATTAATTCTCGATGACACATTAAATTTGGATTGACAACGCTCTGACATGTGATTTTCTCAACTGTGATTGGTGGGTGTGAATAATTTCGAAATGGGATTTTGCGCAGTGTCTTATGTTCCATCTAAGGTTTGCATAACCTAAGGTTTTACCACAAGTTTTACTTACCCTACAAATTTTGTTGAAAAATCGGATGAGCAGTTTCCTCACGTGTTCGCGTTCCACTTTTTCTAATGTTAATATCGTCATTTGCATTTTCCCCAATACAGTTATTTGCGTCGTTATTGGGCTCCACTTCTTCCAATTCGAAGTCTGGATCGCGTAGTGTTTTTGCGATGTTGTGTAGAATAATGCACCAAACTATTATTTTAGGGATATTTTCAAGCTTCAGTCGAACTTTATACTGCAATATGGAAAATCTTTGCTTCAACTGTCGAAAGCAACGTTCAATGCATCCCTTTTCCTTCTCCAACAAATTATTGTAGCGGGTTTCTTGTGGTGTATTCATGGTTCGATAAGGGCTCTATTCCATACCCTTCATCTGCCAGGAGCAAAGCTCGTTATGTATTGCGACGCATAACGGCACAAATAGCAGACGATTTCCAGATTTTACTGTCATAAGTAGAACCGGACCATTGTACGTCTACACTTGTAAATCTCTCCTGCGCATCGCACGTTGCTTGTACATTGATGCTAGCAAAACCTTTTCGGTATATATATTTATCTCCAAATTGGGAAGGCTTTCGAATGCGGACATGTGTGCAATCCAGAACTCCAACTGCGGCTGGAAACGCATAAACTTGCTGCTAAAGATGCTGGACTTCACGTATTTTCTCATTGGATGATAGAAACTTTATCCATAGATTTGCTTTCTGCCAGATTTTGTCCGTTACTTCAGCAATTGTTTTTGACACAGTACTTTGCTGAATTTCAATTATTTTCCCCACGCTGTTTTGGTAACCTGGATCAGCGATGTAATGCACAAACACTTTTTTTTCTGAAACGGTGATAATGCTCTAGCTTGTGTCTCATCATTCTTCTCACCAAAGAAATGGTTGGCTAACCAATGCACGTTTGCTTGATTAAAACGAAAAAGGTGTCAAAAATCATTTGTCCGCCTAGCCACAAGGATAATGACGGTTAACGAAGTTTTTAGCTTTATTAGGATGAGTGTATTTACTGAGAAGACCAAATATGCATTGGAATGTTCGACTCTTGCTACGCTGCTGGGGTCACATGTTCCTTTTTATTATTTGCAGGATATATGTTTTTATATTATGTTGGAGTGAGCGAAAGATTGTTACTTAATAGATGGAATATGTTTATTGAAATGTATGGGTTATTGCCAAGTGCCTGAGCGCAGGTGTTTTAATTACATAGAAAGCTTGTTTAGGGATGATATATTTAATTGAGTAACATATGATAACGAAATTAAGACAAAGGCTATGTATGTTTTGACCCTCTAATAGACGTCAAATGTCTTTTGGATCATGTATGCTATTTTGACAATTTACAGTTAGAAAGATTTAGATATTGATTATTAACAAAAGACGTTTGTAAAAGATACATAAAAGGTAAAAGAAGAAGGTGAAGGTCTCAAATAAAATGATTGACAAGGAGCACAACAGGAATTGGTAAAATATAAATAAATATCTGACAAATATTGCACAATGCACATTATACAAATCTCATTATTTTTAGATACATTATTTCTATTAAAATAAAATCAATATTAATAATTATAGCAAGATTTTTACAATGTTTACTTTTATTTTAGGAAAACCACAGACGATATTAAAATTTACAACGCAACTTCAGACTTTCTTTATACGTCACGCCAAAGTAGTGAAATTGGGTTTAGAATTCATACGAAGAATCCTGTGAGATATTATATGGGAGTAGGACCTGTTACAATGATCAAATGTCCGTACAGTTACTATGTTTACAACCTGTTGTTTCATTTCTTTCCGGCGCTTATTATCGATCTGCTACTGAAACTTCTTGGAAAAAAATTAAGGTTAGGTGTTTAGTTTTAAATCATACCATCATTAATCCACATCCCAACATTTTTCGAGTTTTGTCATTCGATATCAGAGTAGATTAGTTTACTTATTTTCCTCTTTTTATGGTAGAAAGTGGGTTAGGTTATTTTCACGCAAAAATTGTCTATACATTTAGCACTTTTTTCTGTTTTAGTATTTTAAGCCTTCGTCGAAAATTAGTCGTTGCAAACATGGCTTTGTTGCCATTTATGATGCCTGCAGGGGGAGTTCCGTGGACATTTATAAATAAAAACTACGTAGGCTTGGAAAGCACCTTAACTAATAGGGATAAAAAGAATTTTTCGTATTTACATAATAGGTGCAAAGGAGCGAACGACGATGAATTTGAAGAATATTTAAGAATGTTTCTAGCAAAAACTCGTGTATTTTTGTTAGAAGGTGAACGGGAACAAGCCTCCAAGGAAGAATTAATCAGATATAATAGGTAAGTAGTTATTTACATTACTTCAAGCTCTTGTTTTCGAACAAATCAAGTTATTATACTTCAAAATCGAATTTAAGCAAGTAACCACATCATTAATACAGTTTTCTACGAAGTAGAGTTTTGTACATTCAAATCTAACTCTTCGAGCATATATATTTCATAGAGTCCGCATTGGACAGCGTTTGTTTGAGTTAAGAGGGAAATGTTTAGACACTATAACCAGTGTCGTATCATTTTTACGGCGTTTGCAATTAACATAAATAATAAATTTGATACATACCTTCAATATTCTTTAAATTAGGCACATATTTTGTAAATTTGCATTATTTAAGTAGCTATCTAGTAGTAGTAAATTATTATTATTTGTGTTGGACACATTTTTTTTTAATTCAAACATCGAAAGTGTATAAAGGAAAAATAAAGGTTAAAATAATAAGCAAAAGCTTTTATTTAAAAATTAAAAATATAAATAAATAGTAAGTATATTATACAAATATTAATAATATTACAATACAAGAATTTTTTTCAATTATTAAAAATATATGTCCAATAGAAAAAATAATATTTTTAACAAGATTCTCATCTTGATTTGCCTTTTCCATTACTCTTTCACAAAATTCCATCCTGCGAATTTGATCTCCGGGAAATAATTCATGAGTTTTATTGTATTTAAATCACTTAAACCCATACTTTTTTTAAGTTTTAGCCACAAATATGTGTGCAATCTTCAATTCCTTAACAATGGATATGGTTCTTCGTGTATCATCCACCTCAATATCACTACTACAGATGTCTACATCACGCTTTTCTCTTATTGCTCGTTTTTCTGGGGACACATGTTTTGGATGATATTTTGAACAATCTTGTAAACAGCCAGATTGTTGCCAATATTATAAATTGTCTGCCTAGTAGGAACAAATCTACCTTCCTCATACATAATACAAGTTCTTTAAATGTAATTCATTAAATTTACCATTTATTTTAAATTCATGTTTAACGGCCTTTTGCATGAAATGTAGCCACTTGTTTCTTTAAAAAAAAATGGTAGAAACCCTAATGGTTACTTACTTCTAAAATGACCTTGACGATGCCTTTTCATATTTATATTTACAACTTACACAAAATCTCACCATTGTTAGAATTTGTATGAGTAAAGTAAGATACAAACAATCACTTATAAACTACAAAAATAAGCTAGAAATTAATGAAAATCAAAAACCAAATGACCATTCTGACAATTTCGAACGATTTATGACACATTTGACATGTCAAGTAAAACCAAGCAGACCAATGAGAATGTTGGACACTGTACCAAAACAAAGTCCATTTGGACGATGGCTCTAGTAAGATATGCTCGAAGATCTAACGGAAAGATGAGGTTTTCAGTGATTTGTTATAATTTGAGATTATTGTCTCTCTATAGCTATAGTTTTTTGCAAATAATTCTTAATTCTGTAAATATGGACATTTACGTATAAATTGTCTCTATTTTATTAGAGAGAACAACATGCCATCGCAATTCATGCTTTACTACCCAACAAACAATTTTTTTTGGCAAGTTAACAGCCTTTAAACGTATGCACGTTACTTCAAGTAGTGTCCTTTCGGTCAGGGGCAACAATTGGTAAGTCGACTTTATGGTCACAACGGGAGACAAAAGGCCGTCGTCATTTTACCAGCAATAAGTAGTGGCCAGCAATTTCCCATAATATTATTGTTAACTATCCTTCAACGAACTTGCATAAGGCTTATAACATAGGGCATAAGTAGTGAAAGGCCTGCACATAGCCAACAGTTTCCCATAATATTAATGTTAACTGCCCATCAAAGGTCTTGCATAAGGCTCTCATAAAAATGATGCCGAGCTTTTAAAGGAAATGTACAAAAACTATATTCATAAAAATATTCCAAATTAAAAAAACATGTGAAAATAAGAAATTTCAATGAATATTAAATATCAGCACGGCGAGATTAGCCGCATAGAACATGTCCACATGTTGAGTATGTAGCCCTCCTGGACTGTTGGAGTTGGGTCCATGGCAGTTAAAAGGCTTTTGACTTTTGCCGTGCCTTTACAGTTAAATATGGGAAACAGTTTAAAAGCCGTCAACTGCTCATTAAATAATTAATTTTAAGAAGCAGCTAATTACAAATTTCAAAGGGGCCATAATAAGTTTACTGATACGAGTAACTGTTTCGGTGTTAAAACCTTTAGCTGGTTCCAACTATAAATTCTAATATTTTGTGGACTGTATATAAGATAAATCATAATTTTTTGTCTAGTTTTAATCTTTATTTTAAATTTCATATGACATTGTATTTTTAAATCTACAACATTTTTTCGCCTTCTAATAAAATTAAATTTTATATGAAGTTCAGTGGAGTAACAAATACTAAATATGAACTTGAAAGAATGTCTTTCAAAAATTATCTGATACACTCAACAAGTTATAAAATTAAAAACTGCAAACAAACATTCTAGAACCAAATAGTTTTTGTCTTTATGAACAGGGCACAGCATAGAAACGCCTCTTGTGACTTCTCCATGAGGTGTCTTTACAGTTACCACTTGGACCTTCTTATCTGGACCTTGAAGAACCTTGGTCCTGCAGCCTAGGTTCCACTTCATTGAAGGTAGTTAATCATCTTTAAAAAGTACTATCATAGTTCTAGGTTGGCCTCTTCCTTGATCCACTTTGTCCTTGTTTGTAATTCCGTGATATATTCTTTGTTCCACCGCTGCCAAAAATGTTGTTGCAATTTTTGCATATGCTGATATTATGACAAGCGATTATCTTGGATATCAGTTTCATTTGGGTGAGTAATGTATAGAACTCTTCAAAAGTTAATTTTGTATCCCCTAATACCCTCTTGCATGATTTTACTTCAGCCTCCCATAATCCCCCAAAATTTGGTAAATAAGCAAGAATAAATTTCCAATTTATACCTTCATTTGCAAATTGTTTTGACAAAGAAACATTTTGAGATTTTAAAAAGTACCAAACTCCTTTAAATCAGTATTAATCTTTACAAAATTAGACCTATTGTCTAAAAATTATCTACGATATTAAAAAGGTATGTGAATACATATCTATTATTAGTAGTTGTAATATAAAAGTCATAGAAACGTTATAACAACCACATATTTTGTACATTTTAAACCAACTGAATTTAGTTATACGTTTCTTATAACTTAACGTTGTTACAACTCTAGTTAAATCTTTCTCAACAAATTCTAACAAAAACGTCGTACTATTAGTTTTAATGCTATTAAAAAGTTGTATACCAGTTATAAAAATTTAGGTTATTTAATGTATGGTTTACGTGCGTTTTGTAACGTTTTAATTAATTACATTTTATAACTTTACATTATTACTCTTGCAACAAGGGTTCCGAAATGAACTACTTGAAAACATTTAAAATTTATAATGCAATGAATAACAATAACGCTTTTTGTGTGAATAGTCAACTATTATATCTTATTAACAAAAATTTAGTAATTTTTAATAATATGTTATTTTCAATATTTATTTGTCTGTTAATTTAGTTATCAATTGTCACTTTCATCTTTTTATTTACCACACTATACCATCGCCAATATGTTCAGTATCATATTTGTTTCTTATCTTGATCAAATTTATAAACATTTTGAAACTTTTGTAAACAGAACTTATCAAATACTTCAAATCACTTACAACTTCGAATCAGACCACACTTTATTTTCTACCTTTCCCATATACCTAATATTTTATTTCTATCAACTGACCTTTCAAATTTTATTTTTTAAAGTTGGCAACTCTGCCATGACTTTATCATCTTAAAATTACGTCTTGGTACATATTCGAATGTTTTGATATTCTACTATTAGGTACAGTGTTGCCGTTTGGGTGGAAATTTTCCGATTGGGTGGAAATTTTGACTCTGGTGGGAATTTTGGGTGGATACAATGTTTTTGGGGAATTTGTTCCGATGAGGCTCCCATAATTACTTTAGGGCGAATTAATCTTGGATTTCCCTTTCTTTAATGAATAGATAATATTTATTTATTACACTAGGTGTGAGATTACAGAACGTCTGCAACTTTGCAGATCTGCAAATATGGAGGCAACTTTGCAGATCTGCAAATATGGCGGACTTACAGATGCAAGTATCCAAAAAATATCTGCAAATTCGCAATATGTATTATCCCTAACAATACTAAATCGAAATCCACCATTAAGAAGGTTAGAATAACATCCTACAACCATGAAGTCTTCTGTTTCTTTTGATTGAATACAGTTTATGGTGTCAGATTATCGAGTTTTTAAACATAGTAATGGATTTGGGTTTAGTGTTGTTGGGGATAATAAACCACAATAAATATTGCGAATTTACAAAACTTTTTTGGAATACGAAAACTTGATACATGCACATGTAAGTCCGCCATGTTTGCAGATCTGCAAAGTTGCCGCCATATTTGCAGATGTGCAAAGTTGCAGACGTTCTGTAATCTCACCCTAGGTCAGTAATATGAAATTATGTCATATTTTATGTTTTGACATATGACATTGGTTTATGTTTAGACCAGAGATAAGGGAGATATCTCTGGTTTAGACATTATTAATGACATGTTTTTGTGGTGTTGTTATTTGATAGTATTTGATGATTGAAATTGTTTTATTGATTAATTTTTAATGAGTAGTTTTCTGGTGGAAAGCTTTGCTGTCACACGGACTTTGAAATTTTCTTTGCCTTTATTTTTCAGATAATTTTTCTTTGGTCTTCAGCTTTGAGTTTATTTAGCCATTAGATCAACTGATATGTTGAATTTTTTCATTTTCATTTCATGTTAACTAGAATGTTTTTCAGGATTATAGTAATATAAAAAACATTTTCTCAATTCGGCAACACTGATTAGGTATATTTGTAATTGAACCTTGGCCTATTGGTTTTATAATAATGTAAATAATTATCTATTTTTAATTTTTTCAGATTGGTTCTACTAGACAAAACAGTCAAAAATGCTTTTTGGGCTTTCCTTTGCTATCTCGCCGTTTGGAAATATGGCTTACTTACAATTTTGTACACGAGATTTTATAATTACGTTGAAACTTTACCTTAAAGTTATTAAAATTATGAAATGTTTTATTACTTGAATGTTGTTTTATTTAACAGTAAATGACTGGAAATTAACCAATTTTATTTGTGAGTCGAGATTTGTTGGGCAAACTAATAGCGCCTTGTAGGTTAGAATTAGAGAACATATTTAGGATATAGTCGAACTATGAAATAAAGAAAAAACAGGAGTTTTTAACAAAATTTTATTGAAAAATTAAACTACTTATAGCTAAAGCTGTCCCAAATTAGATAAATAGTGATTATTTATTTAGAAGCTTGTTTTTCTAAACATTAAACTATTAACGTCGATATTTTATTTCCATGTGTGTCCACAATTCTCATGCGATTCTCTGTTTAATTTGTCCTCCTAAAAAAGTTAAAATATTAAGAGCAAAAAATAAATTACGGCTCTAAAACATGTATCTATCTAATATTTTATGCACAAACTATAGAATTAATATGTAGTCCATATTAGTCTACTGTACGAATATATCATATCCATTCTACATTCACCAGCATAAAAATAGAACCATTTACATATTTTAGATATAGAAAGAAATTTATTGTTTTAAATTTAATTTTTAACAATTATCAACCGATTATTTGAAAAGAAACGAATTGGACGTATGTCAAAGTGACCTTAAATTAGTAAAAACTGAAACGTAGTGCTAGCATAAACTGAAGAAAAGCATTTTTAATAGTGAGTGTTGCCTCCCCGTGATTGAATTATGGCTTTCATTCTCCTTAGAGTGCCAAAAAACAATTGACGATTGTCTTCTTGAGAAATAGGATCCCATTACTCTAAAAGACCTTGTTGCAATTGATTTAAGGTTAAAGAAGCAGGAACAGACCTTGTATTCTTCGCCCAATCATGACCATCTGGATACCACAGGCTAAATATCTACTCAGCAGTAAACAAAATGCACCTCCATTCATTGTTTATGATTCCTAGCAAACTAAAGTAGTGCGACCCGATGATGTCTAAGACGTTCTGGACCTGTTGCAGGTCTATGACTAGCAATATTGGCTTCTCCAAGTCTTCGTCTAACACTCCGTTCGCTTACGTTGGTATTCCGGGCGTGATGGAATCGATTTCTGATTTCTACAGCTGTAGCATGACGATTTCGCAGACTTTGTATGAAGATAAAGCGATCATCAAAGGCTTTAAGAGCTCTTAGGCTGATAGAAATGTGGTGAGTTAGGGAAAACCTCTTGGTAAACCCTGACAAGGTACAACTCATAACCTTCACTCGGAAAACAGGGTTGGAGGTCTTAGAAACTCCGACTCTGTTTGGAGGAAGGCTAAACAAAACGAACCAAGTAAAATATCTGGGTCTAATCCTAGATAGCAAACTTAATTGAAACCTTCACTTACAAAAAGTGACCAACAAATGTAAAATGTCTCATTGTAGGCATTTGGAAAAACATGGGGATTAAAACCAAAAATAGTCAACTGGCTATATTTGGCAATAACAAGACCCATGATAACTTATGGAGCGGTTGTTTGGTGACTAAAAGTAAACCAGAAAACATCTCTCAATACCCTCTCAGGAGTTCAGAGACTGGCATGCCTTTGTATTACAGGAGCACTGAGAAGTACACCGACAGCCTCTATGGTAATTATTTTAAACCTCCTACCCCTTGACCTAGTCATAAAGGGGGAGGCCAGAATGAGTGTATATAGACTGGAAATCTTCTACAACTGGAACCCACTGGGACGTACAAAACATACCAGAATAACACATGAAGTAAATGATTCTACCGGGTGTTTAACTTAAAGCGTTACAGCTATATACCACTTTTTATAAAAAAAAAACGTTTCAGACGAAAGTTTTATAGTTTTGTGGGGAAAAACTTTTGGCCAAAATCTTTTTTATAGCTAACCATAATATGGCTAACTTTTTTTTCGCGCAGCTACATTTTCAAGTAGTTGTTACTCAAAAAGTAAAAGTCCAATAAAAAAAATATTTCCCTCAAAAGTTTCTTATTTTTTTATGTACTTTAAGAATATGTAAGAAAAAAATAGGATTCCCATTTAAAAAAACAAAGTCCACCTCGATATGGCCATATTATGGTCAGCTACAAAAAAATGAATTTAGCCAAAATGTTTCCCCCAAAAAACTATAAAACTTTTGTATGAAACTTTTTTTTCTAAAATGCATATTTTCGGCGGTATTTGACTGTAACACTTTAATTTGAACACCCGGTATATTAAACATGGGATCAGATCACATGACACCCCTCCTAACCTTCAACAGACTCTTCCAGGTCAACTGTAACTGGAACGAGGTAAATAAGGAGATAGATAAATACTTGCTTAGCGGTCTCGTATGGTATACGGATGGATCTAAATCTAACAAGGGAGCAGGCTCTGGCATACATGAACTTAAACCCAAATGCGATATCATCGTCTCACTAGGAAAACATACCACTATATTTCAGGCTGAAATACATGCAATCGAATTGTGTGTACGAGAGAATTTAAGAAGGAAGTACAAAAAACAAACTACTCTAATTCTCTCAGTTAGCCAAGCAGCTTTAAAGGCTCTTGATTCAAAGAGAATCAAGTCAAAGCTTGTCTGGAACTGCCTTGGAATACTAAATGATCTGGAAACCCACAACAAGGTAAAACTAGCATGGGTACTAGGGCACAAAAGTATCCAAGAAAATGAAAAGGCTGATGAACTCGCCAAAGAGGGATCAGATCTACCATTTACATGACCCGAACCTGTATTTGGGATAAGTGAAACCTCTGCTCGATAGGCAGTGAACAGGTGGATAACCACAAAATACCAAATTACCTGGCAACAGATAAGAGGGCACAGAATCAGTAAGCTCATGCTAAGGGGACCAAACCCACACATAGCTACTGAGGCACTAAAACTCGCAATGCCTCAGATATCCACCATTGCGGGATTACTAACGGGGCACTGCTTGCTAAAACAGCTTCATGTAATGGGATTACACGATGATCCCACTACGCGTAGACTCTGCATGAAAGAGGAATAAACCTCATACCATGTGATCTTCGAATGCAAAGCTCTTACTAGGCGACATTTCATCCTTTTCGGACTAGAACCGGAAAGAACGCCCCAGGAACAGTTGGTAGGGAAGACACAGGACTATTCCAAAGATAGTACCTGAATACGAAGTAAGCAGGGGAATACAATAGACCCAAGAGGACGCAGTTTTCTGGGCCAAACCTAACCGATAAAGATAAAGATCAATGTCTTTAGTTTTTCATTGTGGGCCATTTTCAGGTTGTCTGGTGTAACCTTATTTTTCAAAAAAGGTATATAAATACGATGCACAGTATTATTGGTCATGTCGCTAGGATGCATAGTTTCCAAGATATATGCGAAAAACCGAAACGGGCGGAAACTTTTGATATGTTCACCTCCTAACTATTCCAAACAAAGCTACAAAGTCAAAAATTGTATTCCAAACATTTCCCTCTATACTTTTTCGTTGCCTGAACTAAATCGTCTTTTGAGATAAATAATTTTTTAAAATTTTTTTATTAGGCAGAATAGATGTACACGTACATATATATTTCCAATTTATACATGAAGAAAAAGTCGCCTGTAGCTGATTATTACATTTACCTTTTTATTCCTATTATAACAGTTCATATACATTCGTCTAGTATAGTTGTTCATCGTAGCTATATAGCAAGGCAACGATTTGTTATAAATTATTTCTGTGGGCTCTGTAGAATAAATCGGGCCAAATCGGCCCTTGCAAGCCTCATCTCCATCGTTCGTGGCAAGAAATAGCAAATTTGTATTAGGAATTTTGTCTATTGCGTAAGGCCTGAAACAAATTTTTGATAAAAATACTCATTTAGGAGTATGAACATCTGTCAAATTAAAAAGAAATTTAAGAACTAATTGCAGGGTGTTTTGCTTTAAAAAAGTATAGATTTGGTCAGTACCTCGTTTATGGACCACTCTGTATATTTAAGAAAAATTGTTAAATATGATACAATTTTTATCTTAAAAATTTCTTCGTATTCCTATTGTTAAAATAGCTATCGATCAATTACGCACTGTTGGGACACCCTGTATATATGTTATTCCTAACATATAGGTATCGTTGTATAGGCAAATTTATAAGGAATTTTATGCTAACGTAATATATAAGGTGTTGCATTTTAAAAAATTGAGTAAATTGAACTTAAAATTAACCATATTTAAGACATGTTTCAAAACACACTGTATAAAATAATCCAGATATATTTCCAAAATTCGTTATATTATTATCTTACGTGTAAATTAAATAATTTTGAAATCAATGTAAACGTACCTAAATTATAATAATTTAATTAGGAAAAAATAATTGCTTGCAACGCTTTAATTTTTTAAAAACTTTCTAGGGTTGAATACAGTATTACCAATCCATTCTTAAAATATAATAAAATAAAAACACAGGGTGTTCTATTTAAGAAACACTCATTTTTATTTCCCAGGAAAAAACGCGACACCCCGTATATCTAAAAATATTTTTAAAATGTGTATTTTCTAAATTCATATAATTTTTATTTAAAACTTATTTGCGTGTCCATAACACAAATTGAAATATTAAACAAGTACGCACTAATGAGACACCCTGTATAGACTCGATGACAAATATTTAAATTAACGATGACAGGGGTAATCGTCGTAGCCAACCCCACAATTGTAAAGCGAGCATAAGAAAGGGAACAATTGTTTGGAAAATTACTAGATTCAATATTCCCGCACTTTTTTCGTTCATGAGTAATGCAAAATTATCAAATAACGGGAAAGGTCCATTAAGTCCAAATTTTTAATTAACCTTAAAAAATTCTATATTCCTTACCAACTACATTCGAATTTGGTTCCACTCGTGAACCGACTGAACGGGAATTTAGCACTCGTGTTCAAATTGAACAACCATCTCATCTGGTCACACGGTGTCGGAACGGTTTTCTCGATTATCAATTTATTGAAGGTGATATATTCTTCTTTGGTGCTATTGTATACTTCTTGTGCTTCTTCTCCCATTACTACATTCTTTAAAAGGTAGATCGCACTGATGAACCAATCTTTAATGGCTAGGAAATGGTTCAATATCTGTAATGAAAATTTCTAGTGTAAGCAATAAAATAATAGGTTTTTATTTCAAACAAAGCGATAAGTCATACGTTGTACCGTCAGAGTCTTGTGCAGTAGGATAATGGCGTTCTAACCAACCGTTTATTGGATGATTCTAGTAATGTTAATTAATTTCGGACCATTCATAAATTAGTTTTGGTACGATCAATTTAATGGAGGATTAAAAGCATTTGCACATTTATCGGCTGACAGCACATATTTTTAAGTGCCAGTTAATTTTCGTTGAGTAATGTTTCGCATGATGCAATAAAGTGAGGTTATAAAAAATAAAACCATAAAATATTGTAAAATAGTCAATGTTCCTTGAAAACAGTGTGTATACGATACACGTAATAGCCCAATAATCATTCCATTTCGTGAATATTTTGTACATTATTATTATTATTATTATTATTATTATTATTATTATTATTATTATTATTATTATTATTATTATTATTATCTTTAGTTGCAACTACATAAAATAAGTAAGTAATACAATATGGAAAAAAATATATTGTACCTATCGTACCGACAAACAGTAAAACTGATACAAAGTGTCGGATCTAGTAAAAAAAACAAATATAAACAAAATGAGTAAAAAAAAAAAATGAAATATAAAACACTATTTAAATTAATTTTAGAAAGAAAAATAGGTAATTATATAAAATCCATTTATATTCTTTTGTAAAACGGTCGATTACAAATTGTTTAATAGTTTGGGGAATATTATAAGAAAAAGACCTTTGAAACATTCTGGTACGATGAGGTAGTGGAGATATGTAACCACGAGAACGAACGTAAATATTATGAACATGCGACCTGTAAACAATTTTGTTAAACAAGTATGATGGAGACTTGAATATAATAATTTTATGAAATAAAGTTGCCATATTTAATTTCCGTCTAGAGGACATATTTAACCATTTAGTATCATTGTAATAATTGGCATTATTATTATTTGAAAAATCTAAAGAATTTACCAAAAATTCTAAATAAGTATTTAATGTTTAAATTAAATAATTAAAAAGACACGTATGAAAAAGAAACAAACCTTCAGGTTATTATTCTACATTGAGCGTGACATTTTTAAAAATAACTAACCATCACGTAAATTTTAGTTTATATAAAGAGGAGACAGAAAGAAAGAATCACTGGGGTAAACTCGCAGTCGAGTTCGGACTAAGGTCTTTTTATGTGATGTGTAAAGTTTTGTGTACGATGTGAATTATGGGTAAATATTTTAACTTAATTTTAAAGTGTTTTGTTAAATAATAATTGATTGATTGATTGATTTACATATAAATGCCAATTTTACATTTTCGTCCCAAATTATTATATTTATCTTATTCATGCATATCTTTATTACTATTAGTTATAGTGCTTTATTCTCTAAATGGAATTTTATTCATTTTTTTTCTTAAGACTATTTGTCCAGTTTTATATTTGGTGTTAATATACATTTGTTAATGTTTTAATACTTATTATTAATCTTTCCTCCCTTTCCAAACCAGCAAACGAGCATTTGAGAAGCCTCGGCGTTTTTATTCCCTTAGGACTAAAAGAGTCTAAAACTAGTTGCCAAGAACCGCTCGACTATGCTATTAAGGGATGATTTTTTATTCTTTTAATTTAATCTTTTTAATATTTTTATTTGCCACTGGTGAATGGATGTTCCTTCAGGACTCCAGGACCCTTTTGGCTGGTGACGACGCTGCTCTAATCCCTTAATAGTATATTAACAACAGTAGCTAAAGACCTATCGATAGGTCTTTAGGCTTCCTGGTTGTTACATCATTCAGTATATGAGTTACTCTTTCAAATTTTCTGATACCATAAATGAAACGTAAGCACGATTTTTGTGTTCTATGTCGGTTTCGTTATTAGTAGTGGTTGCATCACTTTCTTCTTCGTTAGGTACTCACTTCAGGCTCACCTGCTTTTATTTCCTTCAAATCGTTTATTGTGTAAGAGGCACCGTCGAAAAATAAAATAGGACCTTTTCCCCAATACCTTAGCTGCTTTTAGAAGTTTATTAAAAAATTTCTGATTGTGTCTGTCCTGGTAACAAAGATCGTGTTCAATGAAGATTTTTAAAAGATGCAATATTCTTAAAAATGTCTTGCTTGATAAGATAAAATGTAAACTCTAATTTAACAGGATTACCTTTTTCAGATTTCAGTGTGTAAGTATTATTCTTTTGGAAATTTGTTTGGGGGTCTTAATACAGCCTAAAACATCGGACCATTGATATGTTAACTCATCCTGCTTTGCAGAGTTGGGTCGAATACTGAAATCCGATATTCGAATACGAATCCTGAATACTGTATTCTAAATTGTATTCGAATAATCAATATTCGAATACAAAGAAAAAAAAGTATTTGAATAACGCTGTATTCGAATACCTGGATTCATTTACATACGAATACTTTATGAATATTCCAACTACAAATAATATGTGCGCACATAAAGCTTGATTATTATTTATATAGTTAATTTATAAAAATATACAAAGAATTAAAAATCTATGTTAAATAAAACTTGAAATATCATTTTTTGATACACAGTGTCACAGTGAGGTTAAATAAAATAACTGTTTAATAAAAAACATTTGTTGATTTTTATTTCTTAAAGTCTTAATAAAAATTATAAATAACGATAAAATAATGAAAAAGTTAAAATAAAATTCATTGGTACACCGTCAGATAAAAACACAAACTTATTGTTTAATAAAAAATAAATAATTCCCATTACCTATAACCTATACCCTACAACCTACTTACTTATACAGAGTGTCCCACGAGATACGCCTCGGACCATAACTCCATAACGGTGCAATTTTCGAAAACTAATTTTAAAAGATGGCTTTTTTGAATATACTTAAAAAAGGACACTTGCAAAATTTTTGAAAATTGCACCGTTATGGAGTTATGGTCCGAGGCGTATCTCGTGGGACACTCTGTATAATAAATAAAACCTAAAATAGTTTCTTTGGTACATTCATTGGAGATTGGAACACAATAAGGTAATTGCTTAGCAAAAGAAGCTATTCTTGAAAAATAATCTTAAACAATAAATAACTTAAAATAAATTCTTTTTGCTTTAAATAAAATATAACATAATATTCATAACAACGCACTAGTACTTGGATATCAGAAAGAAAACATCAATCAAAAAGCATTTCCTATCCCGTTTGCCTTCAACAAAACCAACATTTCAAAAAGATCGCAATATTCATAGAAATAATCAAACAGTATTCGAAAACAGGATTCGAATACCGGGATTCGAATAGCGGGATTCGAATACAAAGTGGGTATTCGAATACTAGGATTCAAAAATGGTATTCTGAATTCAAAATACCGAGTACTGACTGAAAAAGGATTCAGTCGAATACCGAATACAGAAAACACAAATGTATTCGAATAGTATTCGAATACCAGCCAAATGTATTCTGAATAAGATTCAGAATACCGGGTATTCGAATACTACCCAACTCTGCTGCTTTGAGGGCCATTTCCACATCTTTAGGGACCTTTGCATTGCGTTAATTGTAACTGTTTCCTCATTAAAAGAAACAATTTATCCGCAGTATAATTGTCCTTCATAGGAAAACACCACAAAACGTCCTCTTTCATTGACAACATCGTCCTTCTTGCCACAGCGAGACAAAGCTGGTTCTTCTTGAGGAATCACCTCATCTCCAGTTACTATAAATTCGTCAGTTTCTTCAATAACCATAGGCTGATCGGTGCAAACACTTTTTCCAGCTGGAATATTCATTTTTTTTGCGTTGTTTTAGTGTAACGGTTACCACTGATCTTTTGATCTCCAGTGATTTGAGAAACTCTAATTGAACTACAGTTTCATTAGGAATAGTTCTAGGAATCCGACATAGCACCTTTTTGATATTTATTGGAAATACCGCATTTTCGAAAACCGGCTTTCAAATTGGATGCAGCTTGTGGAGTAATAATTTCCATCATCTTTGCTAATAATGGTGGGAAGTTTTCTTTCTAAATATTAGTATGTCTAATACCGTCGCCAGTGTCCTTCCAATCAGATAACACTTTTTGCCAAGTTATTTTTAATGGGCGAAAAAATAAAATAAATTATCACAGAGTAAAACATTTATGCCTAGTAGTTTTTTTACTCTAGGTATCAATTGAGACTCAAGCCAGTCCGTAAATATATTTGCATCAAACCATTCAGAAATCTAAGCTTTAATACTGAATTAAACACTTTTCATCAATGACGCAAAGTTACACTTGATGGCGCAAAGTACTCCCACTTTACGGTAGCCTTTTGGTTTTTGATAAATTAATAGAACAAATGCAACTAAAACTGCAATTATCAGCAACTTACAATGTTCTGTTCGTTTAAAACTACCCAATCAAAAGGAACCTTTGATATCACACTTGTACGTTTTTAGTCACGTTTTAACTAGTATTTTTACCACCAAAACTTGAACATTTATCGGAACCAACTTTTAAACGTGTTAACTATTCAATACATACATACATACATAAATACATACATACATACATACATACATACATACATACATACATACATACATACATACATACATACATACATACATACATACATACATACATACATACATACATACATACATACATACATACATACATACATACATACATACATACATACATACATACATACATACATACATACATACATACATACATACATACATACATACATACATACATACATACATACATACATACATACATACATACATACATACATACATACATACATACATACATACATACATACATACATACATACATACATACATACATACATACATACATACATACATACATACATACATACATACATACATACATACATACATACATACATACATACATACATACATACATACATACATACATACATACATACATACATACATACATACATACATACATACATACATACATACATACATACATACATACATACATACATACATACATACATACATACATACATACATACATACATACATACATACATACATACATACATACATACATACATACATACATACATACATACATACATACATACATACATACATACATACATACATACATACATACATACATACATACATACATACATACATACATACATACATACATACATACATACATACATACATACATACATACATACATACATACATACATACATACATACATACATACATACATACATACATACATACATACATACATACATACATACATACATACATACATACATACATACATACATACATACATACATACATACATACATACATACATACATACATACATACATACATACATACATACATACATACATACATACATACATACATACATACATACATACATACATACATACATACATACATACATACATACATACATACATACATACATACATACATACATACATACATACATACATACATACATACATACATACATACATACATACATACATACATACATACATACATACATACATACATACATACATACATACATACATACATACATACATACATACATACATACATACATACATACATACATACATACATACATACATACATACATACATACATACATACATACATACATACATACATACATACATACATACATACATACATACATACATACATACATACATACATACATACATACATACATACATACATACATACATACATACATACATACATACATACATACATACATACATACATACATACATACATACATACATACATACATACATACATACATACATACATACATACATACATACATACATACATACATACATACATACATACATACATACATACATACATACATACATACATACATACATACATACATACATACATACATACATACATACATACATACATACATACATACATACATACATACATACATACATACATACATACATACATACATACATACATACATACATACATACATACATACATACATACATACATACATACATACATACATACATACATACATACATACATACATACATACATACATACATACATACATACATACATACATACATACATACATACATACATATATACATACATACATACATGCAATAAATCATTGCGAAATGAAAACCTGAACAATGTATTAGCCCAAATAAAATTACTCATTGGAATAAACGCTAATATTTTTTTGGGAATTTATGTATTTAATAAATTTGAATGTATGGCAAAAACTATCCCTTAAAATTTATTAAGGTAAGGGGTGTTGTGGAAATATATCAATAGTTATATTCAAAAACATTTAAGAAGAACTTACTTTAACAAATCGTGGGGTACCAGAACTCTTAGCCGCCTTCATTCTAGCCATCATCTTTCGCATCTTCTTCTCCATAGCCTCTTTTAACTTTCTATTCTGTATCCTAACGGTCTCCGGTTGTTTTTTGGGCGGTATTTTTTGACAAATCGCTTGATAATCGTACATTTTCGTTGGTATGAAAATTTTATCGTTAATTAAATCCGCCATGATGTCTGGTCGTATTGAACCGATATATCTTCCGATATATTCTGGCTCGTCGCTAAGAACGATGTAAGCATTGTTGTCCAGAATGTAGCAGTTAAGGTCTGGTTGCTTGCAAGTGATTTTACAGCGAGGTTCGGTGCACTGGGGAAAGAAACAATCAAATTAAGTATTATTATGCATTTTTTGGTTAAATTGAGGCAATGTGCTCCCTAATAGAGTCTTCTAATTATTTCTTGTTTTTCACAGATACAATAAAATTCAATTATTCAAGCAACTGGTATTATTTGATACCCTAAAATTATTTGACTTTAAAGTATACTTTAAGTATTATTTTAAGATGACCCCATACTTACTTGTGTAGTAATGTCATTGTACCATTCGTACATTTCTCTGTGATTAAACTGTAGACCCACCACAGCCACAGGGCTTTTTAGTTCACCATTTTCAACGAAAATAGCTTTGGTGCCAGTAATCATGGTGTTATTTTCATAACCTAAAATTATTTTACGAAGAATAAGCAGTTAAAAATCTAAGCAACACTAGGATAGACTAAAACTAAAAAAAATATCCATAAACCTGGTCAAAATTGCTTTAGGAGTGAATAAAATAGTATTTAACAATAGAAAAAATGTTGCTTTTTAACATATTCAAAATTCAAAGTACCTATAAATCAAATTGATTTATTGTTTTAATGATATTTTGTAATATTTAGGCCTTTAAGGTAATGAAAGAATATCAGTATTTACATATAGTACGTTAACTGCATTTAGCAAAATAAAGATGATATGCTTAATTACATTTGGACATATGTCGAAACTATCTACGTAACTGATACTGTAACGATTGTTCAATTTTAAACTAATATATTTATGTAAATATATAGTTTATTTATTTACACTAGTACTAATAAATTTATTTATAATACTTGAGTACTATTTATATTTCTAATTTATTTAACACATACTAATTTATATTAGATTTACTTGATTGATGTTTTCACTGCTATGACTCGACTTCGACTAAACTGTCCATAACTGCAAACGCATATTTATATAATTGGCAGAGGCGTTCCCGAAAGATCCACCAAATTTTTCGACTGTCCATTTGCTATTGTAGCGCTCTCACCATTTACTCGAATTTATTTTGATGAATGATTTGTACTGGCTATTTGTGAGCATAGGCGTCCGTATAGTTAAGAGGGTTTACACCTTTTATCAAATATTCCTGGTTTTAAGGACAAGTGGAGTCGTAACCAGGCCCAAACAAAGCAGACAGACCCAAAGGATCAGAGAATTACCTGATTGGTCGGAAATGGCTCACATTATAATACTCTGCATTTTGCAATATTCAATATCGTTTTATCTCATTCTATTCTTACCAACGATGATATAAGATAGTAATAATTTTAGTTGGAAACGTTTTTGGAGGTCTTCATATGTCTTCATAGATGACTTCAGATGCCTATAAAAACATTTTTCCGTGGCCTTTGACCCATGATGAGAGCTTGTTGAATGATAGCTTGCTTTGAACATATAAAATTATAGATATTACAAAAAATAACTTTTCTAGGCTTTAGCGAGCAATAGTAATGTGTATTTCTGTGAAGACCAAATACCTATTACCGGTTCTTGATATAATTTAAATTAAAATAAATTACATATAGAACGTTAGCTGATTAAATATTATCACAGTATCCACGGATTTTTTACGAAGATGCACGTACCTTTTGTTATATCTCCTGTATATATCATATCGTATAATATATGTATAGTAGGGTGGAATGAAAAGGGAAAAAAATATTTTTAATTTTATTTTCGAAACCTAAAAGTGGGAAAAGTTGCTAAATGTAAGAATGATTAACGAGCTATTTTTATTTTATTTTTAAAATGTCATTTTCAGGACTCTAAACCTACTTGAATTTTCCTATTTTCTTGAATATAGGGAAAAGACAAAAAATCCACGGGACAAGTTTCTGTATCGTTTACAAATTCTCTGATATCTCCATCAGTTGCAGTACTTAAAAGAAGTGGAGATGTAACTGAGCAATTTTGCCAATCAATAAGCTCATAATATTCACTAGCATCAAAATATAATTCAGGAATAACAAATTCCCTTACGTTTGTAGATATTTTTGTGCGCGCCTTCCTATATTCTTCGTAAGCCAAGTTGTCTTATAGCAGGATGATCATCAGAAAGCATTTCTAGAAGAAGGTTCTCCGGATGAAATACGCATTTCGTTTAATAACAGGATCGATGACTGCCTTCAATTCGTTGTGCAAGTGACAACTGTATCATTCTGAAGACGTGTCTTCCTCCATCACATTACGATGATTTTCTTTTTTTGTCAAACCACACAGGCGTCTAAAGTTTTACCACAAATTCAGCGATTGTTCTTAAATTTGTAGACGAACATTTACTTCTGATGTACGGTTATACGGTTTGCCTTTGTAACCCATCGTGCGTGTGATAATTTACCTGGATTACGAGCTGCTAGATCTAATGAACAGTTTCCTTTAGAAATTGAGTGACACATTTCATATAAGTACTTTTGATCAGTGCTAGCTGCAACGTCTAATTCTGGTAAAGGGCTAACAATAGAAACAAAATATACAACGGGCAATTTTTCGCAAGATTCCAACATTTTGCTTACAGCTCCAGAGTATACACGAGGTCCTGAAGGTCTCAATACTGCAAAATTCCATTTTTCCTTCCTATATTAAGCGCTGTACTATCGCAGCCTACTACTAAAAGCTTATTTGTACTAATGTCAAATTATTGTAGAAAATTAACAAAAGGTATGGCAATATGTTTCCCCGTACTTATTGTTGGTGTTATGTGACCCATATATTTTGAACCTGGTTCTTCGAGCAATGATATATGTTCTTCGATTTTTATGTTGCGTTGAAATTTGTTTCTAATTTCTTCCTGGATCATCGTTTTATCCTTTCTTCCATCGAAGTATAATGCTCTAATCTCCGGCGTGGATATTTGGAATTCGCTTTTTAAATCAAAACGGTGTTTTTGACGAGCTCTTTGGACCTTACTTTAGACAATAACTGAAGATGATGTTTTTTCGAAATAAGTCCCAAATCTTGTAATATAGCAGATGCAAGCGCTGCTGTAGAAAGGTCCGAAATGCCAAATTGATCAGAAATACGAGCTAGGTTGGGAATAGGCAATCTCATTTGCTGGCTTGTACCGCAACCTGATGTTGATGAAAGCTCCAACTTAGCTTCTTGTTTTTCTGTCAAATTCTCAAGCTGATTTGCATGATCCTTGATCTTAATTTTTCTTTCTTATTTGGCTTTTAATTTTTTTAATTTTTTTCGATAACGTCTATTTTTCCGAAGCTAAAATCCTTAACTTCATTTCAAATAAGCAAATATAGCTTCATGATATTTTCCACAGTTGGCAAAACATTAGAGGGTATATTCGCTGGTGCACCAAATAAAGGACAATTAGTAGCTCCTCTACTGCCCCTAGTGTCCTTCACTGACAAACTCATTACAACATAAAACAAAGATCTTACTTCCGCGACTATTCAAAGAAGACTGAGTACAGCTTAGAGCTACACAATTCGATGTGCATAAACGATTATAAACTTGTAAATAGGTGCATTTGGTTCATGTTTTTTACTAGCATTTTATGTATTTTATTTTCAATTTGATGAAAGATATATTTATTTTTAACTCAAATTTTAGAAAATAGCTTAACATATGTAGAGACAACTTTTCTTAGGTACTATATAGTAAAAAAATAATATTATTTTTTTTTCGCTTCACCCTAATGTATAGTTTTTTATCTGAGTATTGTTCTGTGACGCACATTTCAAATAATTTTTTGGAGTTTTTCTATTATCTGTCAATACATAAATAATTAAAAGTTTGGAATTTGGAGTTTTTTTATTTTCATAATTAGAAGACAAGCAACAAAACACTCTGTAGAGAATTAAATAGTACATATGAAAACTATGATACTTTGCTGTCATGCAGGTGCGACTAATGGATCAGAGGTGCTGCACTTTTTTCAACTAACATTCGATGATAAAGTGTACATCTTCTTTCATGTTGCCGTCATATTGTTGGCTTTCATCTGATGAAAATTTGTTTGGTGCCACATGTAACTGTTTAACCTTTATTGGTTTTTAGAGTGCTATATCTTCTTTAATCCTAGATATTTTTGAGGTTGTATCAGAATCAGTAAAAGCATGTTGAAAGAAAAATTGTTATAAATATCACAACCCAACAAGGCCGGACTTCCAATAATATCGATATTGGTAAATAATCCTCTTCTAATATAAAAGAACACTCTAAAACAATTGTTTTTAGAATGGTATAGCAACAACCCACATGTCTGTATCTTCGCTAACAGTGACGGTCGTTATAATTTGGCATAATGATGATACTGCAAAATTAACAATATTGAAATCTGTGTCTCTATCATAAGCGTAATAAAACCTTGTTTATTTTTATCATTGCCAAGAAATTTTCTTTCTTTTCAACATGACCAATGACAATAAATTAAAATTCACTGTATTGCTAACTTTGGTGAGTCATGTCCTTAATGAAAGCAGTACTATCGTAGCCACTGATGACAATTGCCCTGTCATAATTATAAAATACTAAAATTTTCGTAAGAATTTGCAATGTTCAAGCATGTATCACCAGTTACAAGGCACATGATCAAGTAGGAATCAATATTGCACAAATTAACTGAGGTTTGGCAGCTTTTCTTAAGAGGGTTCGTGAACCACGCATTAAAATTAGAAAATATTTTATCTCAAACTAACAAATATGCTGCCATTTTGAATTTGATTTTTATGAAATTTCCCATAGTGGAACTTTATCGGATTTTAGATATATGTGTTTAGTTAAATACCAGTTCAATCGCTTCTAAAGCAATTTTGCCTAGGTCAAATTTTAATTCAAGTAGATTGGTACAATAAAATACTTTTTACCTGAAGTCTCAAACGGTACCGCATATATAAACATACTCTCATCTTCAAAATTCAACTCAACAGCTCTTCGATACCAATCTTCATCGATAGCTCTGTTATTTCTCTTCTCGAAGCTATCCTCTTCCTCTTCGTGGATTCTACTGCTGTCTTGGAAGTCCCTCCATCTGGTCAAACCCGAATAGGTAGCTAGGAATACTTTGTGAACCTGGTATTCGATAATGTATTTCTCCTCCTCATTGTCAGCTTCTCCGTAATCATCGAACCATTTTGTGGCCTCCATGTCATAGAGCAGTGACGTTAAGAGCGATGCTAGGGAAAATAACCGTGAATAAAGAGTAAAATATCGAATTTAAGAAGCCATCAGTTAGAAAATGAAAAGAGAAGCAGATAGATACTATGTCACATGTCACGAAATTAGCTTAAAAGCTTGAAAATAAAACATCTTCTACATATGGGGGCTATGCATGATGTACTGGCTTTATACTAAGTTTGTAGAATTCGTCGTAAACTACTCATTAGCATATCTGGGCAGAGTACTGCATTAAAATACTCATCAGTACTTCTCAATGAATAGCTTTACAAAGTTCACAAAATTTGAGCACATATATAAATAATACTTAAAGCAAATTAGTACTTTTTAAAATTTTAGAGAGCACTCGTGAAAAAATCGAGTTACGAGTATCAGTATTTTAAATAATTCTAGTTAGTGACTCAAGGATAAAAAGAAGAAATTTTATAGTAATTAGTAGTAGTAAGTCAGTAAAAAACAAAAGTAAGTTCTATCAATCAGTTGCCACTTACCATTAACGTGTACGCCCAACTTTTATATTTCAATGTTAAAGTAAAGTAATAAAGGTATTAGATATATGTACTGCTAAATAATACTCAAAAGAACAGTAATAAAGGTATTAGGTAGAGGTACAAGTAAAAAATACTCAAAAGTCAAAATTTTTCGAATGCTGAGTCCCATCAGGATAAAAGTACTCACGAGCTTTAATTACTAATTATTTTGTTCACAATTTACTCGAGTACTGCCCAGCTCTACTTTTTAGTTATATGGCAAAATTATAAAACTTATAGAATATTAGATAATAATAATAATAACAGGGGCGTTTAGTTTGTAAGCGAATGAATATGTGTAGTCGTGTTAGGTTTAGCATAACTTCTAGGGCTGATGTTGGAATTATTCTCATCGCTCCAGAAGTACTCTCAAACATGCTTTCCTTAGATGACGGTGAGCTGTTGAACATCTTCATCGGACAGCGGACAGAATGGCTTCACCCAAACATTTACCATCAAGTTGGTAGGAGCTCACCAAGTTGCCACTTCTACAAAAGGTATATTTATAGACACCTTACGGCAACGTTATTAACCTGCAGGACTTTGACCTGAGAGGCAAGATATCCCTAGGTACCCACAGTGACAACCGACAGGTTTTTGATGAGTTGATAACATGCAGGAGTTTGATGAATTGGGAAGACGGCTGTCTCTAAACACCCTTTAGCGAAAACCAGCAGGTTTCTGATAATTTAAGAGGCAAGATGCCCCTAGAGCCTTAGAGCTATGAAGCTACCACCTTACAGGTACAGATAACGCAACACTGACCTGTACGTCATCATAGTCCTTTTATTTCTGCACAGCCATTTGAATGATTTTGTGCTTTTTAAGTTGACTTTTTTTAAAAATCTTAAAAATCTGAAGCAGAATAAACAACTAATAGGCAAGTGAAAAATAAAATAACTCACAGTTTTCATTCTTACTAAAACCAGATCTAACTTTGTCTTCTGGTGTAATGCCAACGCATTTTTTGCAATAAATCCTAAAAAGTTATCATCTATAAATGTTGTACACTATTAATTAATTATATTTGGTTTAGTTTACCAGTCAGGATGGACTTTCCAGAATGTTGACACCAATGAAGAAGCACTGCTTTTGGCACTCGGGCGTTCAATCCTACTTTTGTTAACTATATCAAAGCCGTATTTATACGGAAGGACGACTCCTAACGTAAATGGACCAATAGGAGCAAAATAATAATTTCTGTTACCCAACATGAGTCGTTTCTGAAATAAATATAAAATTTTTATAAATCTCTTTCAGGTTTTATAAATCGATTATACTTACATTGTCATTTAAAGTATATTTCACTTTCAGTGTTATTGGATCACTGGGTGTTTGGTTTACCAGCTTATCTCTTAACTGGAAATGGAATTCATTAGAAAAAAGTAGGCTCTAATCTTTAAAACATATTATTTATCTCTATTACCCAGTATTACAAACTTATTATGTAACCACTGGTACTGATGCTCTATGCTTATTATACTTATTTAAATCTTTACCCCAGCAGGATAATATTATTGATGTATTTAAGAATGTCTAATGGTTGATTTCGCTTTTTGAGTTGTTTATTTTTATTTATTGATCTTCTTTCTATACAAACCAAAAATGTTTAATTACATAGATAAAAAATAAAATTACAAATGGTCCGGTTGTCAGTTAAGAAAATAGGCTTGGACCTTGAATTAAACTATTATTTTATTATTGATCCTAGTGCTATTTGATGTATTGAACTATAATATGTGGGATTCCGGAGTGCTACATTTTCTTCTAGTTGCCTTAAATACCTTAAATGTTGTCGTTCTTTTGACCTAATTAAAGTTTAGACTTTTTTCTTACTTCTTCTCATTATAATTTTTTTTTGTGTTAATTTCTGTGTAAGTTTTTGTGTTAATTTTTGTTACAATTTATTGACTATGGGTTCCAAAATGTTATTAATTACTGACGTTGTACTATTACTTCTTGTTGTTTTGGACATCTTAATTCCCATTAATAGGTATTAACTTTGAGTTTTGACTTGGTAACAATGGATGAACTGTTATATTTTGATTTTCAAATTATCAAAATCATTTGTTCTGTATATACAGGGTGGTCCACCGGTAACGCCTCGGTCTGTATATCTAAAACTAAACTTTTTTTCAAAAATCGGTTTTAACGGTGAGATGTATATCAGAAAAGGCAACAATTTAAAAATAATTTTAATAATACAGGGTGCTCCAGGAAATTGGAATATATCAAAGTTAGGTTTTTTTAATCGGGACACCCTATATTTTATTGCATTTTTGAAATCTATCATTTTTGATATATTCGAGGATTTTCAAAATTTTGGGGTGTTTAAAAACTGCAAATATATCCTACATTTCTTAATATTTCAAAGTGATTTTTTAAGGTACATTAAGCGTCTTCTGGGCTGTAACCTCAAATACTTACTGATCAAAAATATCGTATAGGGTGTTTACGAAATAGATATTTATTTTACGTAGATTTGAACACCAAAAACGTCGTTATTTTAAATAGAACACCAAGTATATTTTAACATTATTAGAAATATCTTTCGAAACCCTTTCAAACAATACATAGGTATTCCCTATACCTATTTGTTGTTTTAGAGAATAGTCTAGTTCTTATAATTTATGTAAATAATTCATTAAATTTAGTTAATCAAGATGTCTGGGCATTGATTGTCAATTTATGTCATTTTAATTTAAACTGTTTCCAATAGGTATTATTTTGTGTTTTGTGCAATGTTATTATTAAAATGACGAAATATTCTATGCAAGAAATGGTGGATATGATTCTCACCATAGGTGAGTGTTATGAAAACTGTTTCTTAGCAACACGGGTTTATACCCAAAAGTATCCAGACAGAAATCAACCGGATAAGAGAACTTTTGAAAGAGTTTTAGAACGTTTTCGTACAACAGGCAGTGTTGCATATTCAAAACAAACTGTGAGTAAACCCGTAGTTGATAATGAAGACAACGAATTTCTAGTATTAGGTTTAGTAACGGAGAATCATCACATTAGCGCCAGAGAAATTTCGAGACAAATGGATATACCTAGAACCAGTGTAATGAGAATTCTCAAGAAACACCGATTCCACCCTTACCATATCCAATTTCATCAACATTTATATGGTTCTGATTTTCAACGACGCATATATTTTAGTTTATGGGCGCTAGAACAGGTAGGAGAAAATAGAGACTTTTTCGATTTTGTCTTATTTACAGACGAATCCACTTTCCATAACAATGGCTTAGTAAATCGTAATAATTTCCATTACTATGATACAGAAAATCGGCACCTATTTAGAACTATTGACCGACAAAACAGATGAAGCATAAATGTTTATGGGGGATTATTGGTGAGAAAGTTATAGGCCCATATTTTTTTAATAGTCATCTAAATGTAAATAATTTTTTGAGGTTCCTTCGTTCAGATTTTTGGCTGCGTTTCGAAGATATACCATTGAACGTACGGCAACAAATGTGGCTACAATTAGATGGTGCTCCTTCTCATTTTGCGCGGGACGTGAGAAATTACTTAGACCGGAAATTTCCTAATAAATGGATAGGAAGAGGAGGCCCATGCCAATGGCCACCTAGATCACCCTGTTTAACACCCCCAGACTTTTTTTATGGGGTTACATAAAAAGTCTTGTATACAATACCCCAGCAACCACGCCAGAAGATATGAAGGAACGAATTAAGAATGCATTTGCAACTATTACGCCGGATATGCTAAAAAGAGTAAGACATTCGTTTGAACGGAGGATCACAATGTGTATTCAAGAAGACGGTCATCATTTTGAACATCTATTAAATTAATTTATTATCTTTTATTGTTTTGTAATTCGTGTTTCAAAAAAAAATGTAACAATGTTAGTAAAACTATCACAGATAGGTATAGGGAATACCTACACCGTTTGAAAGGGTTTAGAAAGATACTTCAAATAACGTTAAAATATATTTGGTGTTCTATTTAAAATAACGAAGTTTTTAGTGTTTAAATCTACGTATAATAAATATTATTTCGTAAACACCCTATATAATATTTTTGATCAGTAAGTATATGAGGTTACAGCCCAAAAGACGTTTAATGTACCTTAAAAAAATCAATTTGAAATATTAAGAAATGTAGGATATATTTGCATTTTTTAAACACCCAAAAATTTTGAAAATCCTCGAATATATCAAAAATGATAGAATCTAGATATAACAATCCCCTTACAAAATTACACTAATTTTCTTTATAGATTTCAAAAATTCAATAAAATATAGGGTGTCCCGATTAAAAATCTAACTTTGATATATTCCAATTTCCTGGAGCACCCTGTATTATTGCAATTATTTTTAAATTGTTGCCTTTTCTAATATACATCTCACCGTAAAAACCGATTTTTTAAAAAAAGTTTAGTTTTGGATATACAGACCGAGGCGTTACCGGTGGACCACCCTATATATGTATATAGATGAAAATTCTTTTAAATTATAATGTTAAGCACCCATACAGACTTCCTTGCATAGTATTAATATTTTTACAGAAAAAAATAACACATAAATCGACATAAATACACAGAGCTTACGAGCTAAGTGGAACCTGGAACCAACATGATATAACTACTACTCCTTTTGTGCCTCGTTCTCTTTTAAGATTCCAACAATGAAGATAAAGCTGGCCTCCACAAAAACCGATATGGAATAGGAAAGCGACATATATGCAATTAAGACTAGAAGAAATAATAATAGAGTTCTCAGTAAAGTATATGGAAGTATATTTAGACAAAACTTAAAGATGACAACATACATAATAAAAAAAAGGGTAAATATTGAGCTTAGCCAGGATCACTCTAAATCTAGGAGATTCAGGATTCAAGAAAAGAAGGGTGCTCTACTTCGCCACAATATCCATCATTCTATACGGATCCCCAATATGAAAAAGCCACATACTTTGATTTTCTTTTACTATACGGAGAATGGTCGCACTGCGCAGCTTTCTGAGTGCCTTTTAAATGGAGATAGAAAACCCCGCCATTTTGAACATTATTTTTAATAGGTGCGTTTTAATCATCCGCTTCTGCTTCGGAATTGTCAGTTTTCTTGTTTTAATCTGACAGGTTAAAACGACTAAACCGACAATTCCGGAAGCAGAAGCGGATGATTAAAACGCACCTGATATTTTGCTTGCTACTGTCAGTGTCAGTGAATATTATTTTTGAAGTCACAGTTTATTGCTAAAGAATCAGTTAGTTCACTCGGACCAGTTAGAAGTTCCAAAATAACATCCACTCTAGGGATACAAATTCAGGATGCGCAGAAGACTGCTGTTTTATTATAGGCGGTTGTTATATATTGTATTATCCGAGTTGCACAGTGTATAAACTGAAACATTGAGATCCAAAGTGCCGACGCAGAGTGAGCGATCTGATTCTTTAGCTGTAAACTGTGTCACAGGGTTCAAAATGGCCGCGCCCTATGTTGGGCGTGTCGGACCTCTCTCTTGCCTCGTATAGTAATCAATGTATGTGGAAAAAGCGCATATAAAACAAACATAAAGAGAAGGAGATGGAAAGTCTTAACAGGAAAATGTCCTCAAGAATACCATCAGCCCACAAAACAGGCCCGTCAAGGCTATACTAGTCTAATCATAGCCAATAAACCCCTAGATAGAAGAACGAACGGATATGTTAGAGCTGGGTAAAGAGAACAGAGCAAAGACTGGTAAACATCTATTGAGCAAATCGAAAAACATATGGGATGAATACGATGTATGGACAAAAACTTTTATTAAAGAAATCAAAGCATGGAATAATAGACCATTGGGATAAATAGATTTCCATGCAACACAAGGACTCAAACGACATGGAGTATTCTGTACATATTTATTTAGATAGGCAAGAAAGCCAACAATAATAGCTGGTACTGTAATGATATTAACATAGCAAAATACACAAGATAAAACACAGATCAAACAAACAGCAAATGCGAAGTAAACATCAAGAAGGACAACATTTTTGAGTTGATGTTGCAGGATTAGGAAACCTGGAACAACATAACTAAACTAATAAAAACAATAATGTCGAAGAAAAAAAAAGGATGAAAGGGCACAACAAGAAAAAATTGAGAACACAGAAGCAAATATCCAGGCGGTGATACCAATATCTCTCAAAGTTTCTCGTTCAGTTATTATCAACTCTTTTTCTGGCTAGGAGGTTTGATTTCTTGTTTCCCAACACTCTCTTATATTCCGGCACACATTCAAGAGTGACCTTATTATATTCTGCCAAAGCCTGTAGGAACTGTTGGTAGTCCAAAATAACTTGTACTTCTACTCTTAGCAGTGCTTTAAGAGATACCTGGATTTCTGTAATAATAAATATTTTCTATTCTCTAAGAGAGTAATTATTTAACATAATATGGGCATAGTCATTTATTGCTGTAACTTTAGCGTGTCAGTGATCCCAGGTTTAAACTAATACTTTTTACTATGTATGTATGATAAATCCTAGCTTCTGCAATGTTTTGCATTTTCGCAGCCATGAAGTCATGAATAATAGCAAATTTAATTTATTTATTGTTTTTGTCCAAATTGTTCAAAAGTTGCAATGGACCTATCAGTTGTTACCGCCCCGAACCAACTCCGCCAGCCTAAGGTGTAAGGTAATGTGCCGATGGATCAATTGTAGCAGGAGCAGATGCGACAGGAAACGCTCCCCTGATGCAACCTGGAAACACCCTATTGTGTCTAGCTTTACCGGCGCATGAGGGGCACTACCTTTTCTGCCCTAGTTACTCGTGGGAACCATATGGAAACACAAAAACAACAAACTAAAAAGGCTGGAGACATCAACGTTCTCCTCCAGTATCGACGATTAGACAACAAAGTTCAACTCCCGCGCAGAAGACTGGACAACGACGACCACCTCCAAAAAAGAAAAATGGACGTTAACGCTCACCTGCAACGAAGGTTTGACAACAAAGTTAAGGGGGCTGGACAACGATACCCAACTTTAAAAAAGGAGGATGGACACCAGGCTTTACCTTCAACTAACAGACCCCGGAGGGGCAAGAGTACCTCTGGGTGTAAAGCAAAGTAGAGAAAGAGAGATAAGCTACAGGCAGGCAGTGCTACGGCAACCGCCACCCTCAGCAAAAGCAATCACTTCAAATCAAACAAAAATGGCTTGATCAAGTCCACGAGAGGCCAGGAACACGACGCAATTAGGGACAAGAAAAGGCCGCGATCTGACAAGTCTTCTGAGGTAACGCCCCAGAATGGAAATAAACCAGACAGGACCACAAAGTTCTGTCTGAGATACGCTACAAGGATGCAGCTACAAGCCACCTAAAAGTAGCTATAATAGACAAGGATAACCCTTACGGTATGATAAGTACCGAAAGAGAAATCCTTGTCAAAAAGACACTAATAGGAGAGCTAGACAAAATAATTTTTTCCTCCTCCTGCAGAAAACCAAGCCATCCACATTCAGGTGGTCTTGTACGCACTCTGGTGAAATCATCAGAGTAACGTGCGACAATCACCTGACGTTGGAATGGCTACAAATCAAGGTACCAACCTTAAAAACATGGGAATGAGCAACAGTCGCTTTCGTCAGGATGAATGAGCTTTCCAAGCTCACCAAAGCCTCTCTCTGGATTCCAGCAGAAGCGAAAGCTGACCTTGATGAGAAGGAAGTTGTGCTCAGGCGACTTGAGGGGCAAAATCCTAACTTGCATTTGGCGAAATGGTGAAGGTTCCACCATAAAACCAAAAAAGACTAACTGGTGATTGCCAGGTACGGAAGCATCTCCATATAAGTGGGTTGTAAGAATCTGCACCCTGTAGGGGCGCGAACAAGAAGATGAGACCATCGAGCATATCTTCTACGATTTCCCGATGATTTCATTAATCAGAAGATTTGTGTTCGGTGAGTTACGGCTAAGACCTGCCGATATAAGAGAAGCACCTCATATGGTGACGTTGTTAACTACATTAAATCTGTAGGCTAGCTCACGAGCTAGGAGGTGTATATCTCCTTAGGAAAATGCACAATGGGCCTAATGAGGCCTAAGTGCCATGGGATAACCCACCCTCGACGCGTTAAAGATATAATGGGAGTAGTTCTAAATTAAAGGGTCCTGTTAATACCTAATAATTTATCTAATTTTCGGGATGCTGTTACACTTTTAGTCTTATGTCACCATATGACTGGTCGCTTATAACGAGTACTATAATCTTAGTATAAAGACAGTGAGTCATATATCAGCCGCCATGTCCATACGGCAAGCATGGCATCAAGGGTTATTCCAATATATTTAACTTCCTTTGCCATTTTTAGATAAAGTCCCCAGATATAATTTTCTTTATTCCTTGCAGGTTACTTTTTATTGAGAATGCAACACAGAGGTTTTTGCTGGGTTTTTATACAATTCTTTCTTTTAGCAACCATCTTTTGACGATAGTTTATTAAAAAACTTACTTGCACTACAGAATCTCCAAATAAACGTGGTGCTTTATCATCGTTTAAAATTTCCACTTCCAAAATGTCTACTCTATTAAACGTCGGCTTCAGAATAGTTTGAAACTAAAAATAAAAACCTTACAAACATTGTTACCAATATAAAAACTTAAATCTTACTTCAGTTTTGTGATCAGGATGCATAAGAATGTAACCGTTATTAGTAACAATAAAAGCGTACCCATTAACTCCGATCTGAAAATTAAATTGAAACTATATATTGCTTAAACCAAAACGTGGTTAATTACCCTCTCGTAAGGTATGAGTGCCTTAAATAGTGTTAAAGGAACGTCTATACCAGCTACTCCCAATAATGAAGTCTAAAAAAGATGAAAAACAATTTAAAACAGTGAAATAGTGAAAATAGTAGCCCGCTGTATGTTCCTTGCGATACTCTCGTACTTACCTCATTAGTATTCCTTCCAAATACTGGTAACGATACCGTAGTCATATATTTGTAGTCCATTTTTTCTTCATATGCATCATAACTCTAAAAAATGAGAACTTGAGTAGTTAATGTCAAATTTAAAAATTCAAATACTTTTTAAAGAATTACCCCGGTAATTTCTCTAAAATCTACAACTGGTATAACATAACTTACATGGCTTTCCTTCAACAACATGTGCTCTTCCGCAGTCAACATCTGATTTTGTCTAAATATGATCCTCTTTATGTGATCCAGAAATACTTTTCTCTGTCTAATACCTTCGAATTTCTTCCACAACCAATTAGATAACCTCCTGTCCGCCAAGTCTACGTGAAGATAACTCCAGATGAATTTTCTTTTTTTGTCAACGCTTAAATTTATCGGTCGGGACATGACGTTTAAATACTGTAACATTTTCTCCCTGATATCTCCCATAACGCTCATGTTTCCCCACCAACCTAAAATGGTATACGGAGTTCAGAACAAGAAGAAAAAGTACAAGAACTCATAGTTAAATACCCATATTTGAACAAGCGATCCATTCCAATTCAACGGCATCACCATCATCTTGTTCTATTTGATAAGTGAATATCCTTACAGGATAATCTTTTTCCCAGTTTCTTTTTTTAAATATTTCTTTATTGTACTCATAGTCTAAGCCCTCGGTTATAAGCATAATGGCTTGGTTGCAATTGGCACCTTAAAGAAGGATTATGCTGACTTTAACTTATGTTAACTTAAAAATATGTTTAACTTACTTGTTCGCGTTCTTCTAACATTTTCTAAAATATCAAAAGCCTTATTTACACCAAGCGATAAATTTGCAGCGAATTCCTCTTCGTAAACTGGTATGGCTTCTCTTAACAATCTTAGGTTTTCTTCATTGGCCTATGAAACAAAATTTGCTAGGTCATATGGTACAGAATGTCAGGTCGTATTAGATCATAATGTTGAAGAGATATTTTAGTTTTAAATTTGTGTATTTTGGTATCAGGAGAGTATCGTTTTAAATGGATGTTTTGGGTTTCTCATGATTTTTTTTATATTTCAAAAAACTTGAAAATCTAAGGGAGGAAAACGAAAATTTGTTTTTATATTAAAAGTATAATCTTAAAATCAATTTCCATTGCGTAAAATTCTAAATTACGTTATATTTAGGGTGTATACGGACGGCTAAAATTATTAATAAGTAAAACATATTTAATGCAAGAAATCTCTTTGAAATAAAAAAAAAAAATACGTACAATAAATCACTAATATTTTTAAAACTATTACATCAGTTTGAAAAGGCCCGAATATTTAACAATTTTTAACTGAAAAATCTAAGAACTGGAAAAGTTTGACATTTATTATGAAAATCTAAGTTGTTAAACCAAGTTTTAAATATGGCAACAACGCATGTCTTACACAGAACCACAGTATATATAGCTACTATCACGATACACAGACTAACGGTATGTTCCTGCGCATGCAGCTGACTGACGGTGGCGTCACGTGGGACTTATTCGCTCCGTGCGAAGCACTGATCTGTATTATTTTACTGGATAGGATATAGGCTATATTTAACATACTAAAAAACCGTTCCACCAAGGAGACCGGAAGTGCAACAATGCTGACCGATTTGGGCAAATTATGGTGGGTTCACAGAACTAAAATTTGGGATAATTTGACATACCTAACCTATAATTTGATTAGTTTTTCTTCTTATTCTTCTTCTATTCCTTTTGCGGGCGATGTCCTTCGGGAAAATTCACCCATAATTTGAGTTTTTATGAAAGAAAATATAAAAATGGAAACGTGAAGCATATTGTGTCTTCAGGAATGAACGTTTATTGTTTATTTCATAGTAATGCTATCCGATACTACCTACATAAATAGCAGATAAAGGATTAGTTGTAAAGTACCTATAGTGGAAAGAAAAATTTTTAAAACTGCTCTAGTTATTTTATATAACTTATAAGGACTACAACTAAAAAGAGATATTGGTAATAGAAATAACATCCTCGAGCTAGAACTACATACTTTAATGAACAAGTATGAAATGAAAATCGTTTGCCATTGTTGCAATGGAACCAGGAAGAACAGGGATATTAATATGGTTAAAAGATGTAGAAGATCTAAACAATACCTGTGAAAATCTTTAACAGAGAGAACAATATGGATTCATGCAAATAAACCAATTAGAATTGAAACTGACTAGTGGTGTTTTCAGGAACATGATTTATATTAAGAATTTTGAAGAATAATGTAGGTAGGTAGTTTATAATTGCAAAGTTAATTATAGATGTTGAAATAAATTTTAAATTACCTACACCTGTCTAGGAAAGTTGATTAAATTTACCGATTATTACCACTGTTAGAAATTTCTAACTCTTCCAGGTTAATACATGGTCTTTTTGTTGTCTCTCTATTTTTACACTGTACAAAACACATTGAAATTTGTGCAATTCATAAATATATGTATTCAAAAATTGTTCTAGGAAAATACTCTTATGACTTAAATTTTGTGTAGACTATTTGAATGTAATTTACAATTAAATAAAGAACAAATTTAAAGGCTTTACATAATTTTTACATTTATGCAAATATTGATTTATATATTTTTTAAATGAAATAGGGGAAATCATGGGAAAAGGTGAAAAACTAAACATTTATATTTCTTGTAACATATTTATTAACGTAAAAAAGATATAAAGTACCTAATATTTTTAAATTCATTACCAACAGAGTCTTCGTTTGTGTTTTATCAATGCAGGATAGCTCAAAATGGTATGAACATAATCGCATTGCTGCACTTACAATATTAAAATTGGTCATATCCATACTCTTCGGCCATTTTCTTAAAAGCTCCAATTCTGTAGAAACCTTAAATAACAAGAACATTATTTAATTTAGTAATAATCGTTATAATTCACTTCAGTTTTTATAATTTAATCGAAAAATGTTATTTGTATTCTTGTATGCTTGTGTAAATTAGTAATTGTTTCAGTTTGTTTCGACAAAACAGATCTATTAACAAATTATTATAAATATAATAGTTTTATTTACCTATGAAGAGTACGGATACTTTTTTTTACTTCGTTTTCCACAATAAAAACACGTCTTCACTGTAACTTCTTGACACAATTAAATGACAAATGTGATAGCAAATTAAAATAGAGGTTATGTTAAATAACATCCGGTCCGCCATATTATTTGCCCAAATCGGCCAATTTTTCGGAACGTTTTTTAGGTGGCCATATCCTATCCAGTAAAATAATGCAGATCAGTGGGCTATATCCTATCCAGTAAAATAATACAGATCAGTGGTGCGAAGTCATGGAAAGGGAAGCAAAAGCGATACTAGCGCTAGCTGCGGATAATTCGTGCATTTTAGGGCGATATTTTGTAATTTTGGCATATCAAATACACGTATACATTTTACTTTTTTTCAAAAAAGTAGGTACAAACAATACAATAAGAGACCGGAGTTGCTGTGTTGACAATTGTACAAATACTAGCAAAAAAAACAGTGAAACTTATATAAAAAATTTCAGTAGCAAAGTGGAAATTAAATCAAAGAAATAAATGGATAGATGTACAATAAGAAGAAAAATGACCTTTATTTTTGTAATAATAACAGTAATGCTGTAAATAGTAGACATCAGAAACTTGAAAGGTTTTAAATAAACAATAAATTATCATTTTACGATGTTCTTTAATGTCCCTTTATTCTTAAATGTTCATTCAGCAAGGACTAGATTTCAAGATTTCTGCCTTTGATTATTATATGTGGATGGAATGTAATTTTGTGACTTACTGATGAAAAACCAGTTTTAATCATTCATTCTATGTTTTCTTTCGAACAAAAATGAAAATATAAATAGCGATCCTTTTTTTATACATTTTAACTTCATGCTATTATTAAATGGTATTTTTTTATTTTGACAAAACAGGCTAATTCTTCAGTGACAATTTATTAGACTTAGGCAACTTCTCATACATTTTCCAGTAAATACTGTTGCCTGCCTATATTTTATTATTGATTTTCATTGATTATACATAATTTTCTTTAATTTAAGCGTTAAAAATATATAATAATAATAAATTAATGTTTTACTTGTTTTACAAATCCATATACTTTTATTAAAACTAACATATATACTTTTTAATTACGAATTCTATTAAAAATTGTATTTGTCAGTATACACAGAAATAGTCCATTAATACCAAAACAAATTGGCGCTGCGGTCGCGCACGGTGCGAATAAGCATTAAATGGGAGATAGTGTTTAAAATTCGATATTTTGACAATTTTAGATTTCATGCAGTTACTTAAGCCTTATTGGTTATGTTGTAAAAAATTCGTTTACGAATATGAAGGTTTAAGGTAAATAATACTAATAAAAATATTAATTTTTCTCATAAATTATAGGTATTTTGTGACAAAATCCATAACCTGGCCATAAGATAAATAAAAAATATAGAGTAAAAATACAAGTTTGATACAAATTTGTTCTTTCTGGGCGTGGTAATTCTCTTGCAATCTCTTTTCTTATTATGTGAAATAAAAATAAGTGTGCAGAACCAAATTATTTATTTATAAAAAGTAAGTACACAAAAAAATTACTTTTTATTTGATAAATTTAAACAGTTTTTGTCAAGTTTACTTCGAAAATATTCAAAACCAATTTTTCTGTTTATTTATCTTATTATTATATGTGTTCGTGTTCTGCTCATGCATGGCATTACTTTAAAAGAACCATTCATTGTATTGGGACAGGAAACGGTTTTATCTGCTAACATTTTAAAATACCGATTTATTTTCTTTGCTTAATGAGGCCCGTGCACCTGGTGAAATTCAGTTTTCTTTTCTTTCGTCTATGTTTAAGAGGAATCTCACTACTTTCCTCAAAGTGGATAGGGCAACTTCAGTTAGGTTTGTCCCTTCTTCGATAAAAATTTACCCATATTTTGTGGCATTCGAAAATATCTCCACCACGCAGACCGGCATTTTAAACATTAATTTAGTTCCTCCCTGTTATATATAGGAAAATATAGTCATTACTAACACAAAAACAAATAAATTATTAAATTATTTTACACTATTCAATCGAAAAGTGTCAAAATAACTTGAAAGTTCGTCCCGAATTACGTCATGCGCGGTTTGAACGAATTTTGAATCGAAAGTTAGCATACCATTAGTATGTGTATCGTGGCTACTATAAGCCTCCGAGCAATTATTACTGCTCGGAGCTATAAGCCTTATACTGTGACAGATCTAAGACTTTTATGTTTAAAGATGTTTTCTGGCCGGTCCTTAATTTGTGTAAAACATAGGCAACACATTTTACGACAAAGTTTGCAATTTAAAAGATAAATAAAGTATTAAAATGCCAAAAACAAACTTAATAATAAATGTATAAAAACTAAAAAATGATTTATTTATTTATAATTGTCTACGATCCTAAGTCTAATGCCACTATGTATTTTTCAAGGCTTTACAATTATGGATGCAGTGCCGAATATTTTGCCATCCAGAAAATCGATGCTGTTCAAATCACCTAGGTAATGGAGTATTTTCTGACGAGGCACTTGGACTGATCAGATTGCGAGCAACACCAAGATCTTTGAGTATACTTGAAAGTGAAGCACTCGTAAATCTCCTCACTGAGCGTGTTAGTGCGTTAGAGAAACAGTCAAACATGTTAGACTTCGACTTTCAAAATATGGAAGATGACGACTACAAATGTTTGACTGGTCTAAATAGGGCACAATTCAATACTCTTGCCGAACATAACGATGACATAAAATATAGGAAAATCTAAGCAAGAAAAACTGTATTGCACTTTTTATTGTCAGGTTAAGGGTTGATCTCAGTCAGAAAGTTTTAGGGACGATGTTCGGCATGAAACCAAAACAGCAACTTCAAGTTAGTGAGATTTTTCAAGGTGTTTTGGTTTTATTAACCAATAATTTTGTACCGCGCCATCTTGGTTATGTGCATATAACTCGAGAGGATTACGCTCAACTACACGGTACCACGATTTCCAATAGACTTTGCCGTGTCCAAGCTGATTATTTGGTAGTTTTGGTAGATGCCACCTATCTGCATCACCAAAAACCATCGGATCACAGATCTCAAAGAAAAACTTATTGCGTTCAAAAGAGGGACAATCTAGTAAAGTTTTCCGTTGGAATTGCATCAGATGGATATATGCTAAGCCCCTTAGTATAATTTTTAATTTAATAATAAACTCGTCTGTTTTTCCCGAGAAATGGAAAATTTCAAAAACTGCTCCAGTGTACAAAAAGGGCAACAGAAATGATATTACAAATTATAGACCAATTGCTATTATCTGCAATTTTAGTAAAGTATTAGAAATTACAGTTAGCAAATTTCTCTATAGGCATATTGAAAATTCAATTTTACCTGAACAACATGGATTTGTTCGTGGGAGGTCTACTGTTACCAATCTAGCCATTAAAACTCAATTTATCAGCGAAATATTGGATCGCGGTGGACAAGAAGATGTGATCTACACTGACTTTACGAAGGCATTTGATCGCCTTAGTCATCCCATTTTGTTATCAAAGTTAAATATGTTAAATTTATGTGAAAATGTACTTTTTCTCCTTAGCTCCTACTTAAGTAACTCAGTATGTCCATATTAGTGGCGTTAAGTCTCGCTTCATATCTCAAGTTTCTGGTGTACCCCAAGGTTCCATTTTAGGGTCTTTATGCTTTATAATCTTTATTAATGATATTTGTAAGAATATTAATGTACATTATTTACTCTACGCTGATGACTTAAAGCTTATTTCAATGATTAATAACAACAATGACTGTGTCGTAATGCAAACCGATATAAACAAAATTCAAAACTGGTGTATAATTAATAAGCTCATGTTAAATCCTGCAAAATGCAACGTAATGTCATATACGCGAAAGAGTGACTGCATAAGATACGATTACAATATAGGAGGTGTCGTCCTCCAGATACCTGACACGATTAAGGACCTCGGTGTTGTCTTCGATTCAAAACTTACATTTGTTAATAATTTGGCCATAACTGTCGCATTTTGTTATAAAGTTCTAGGTTCCATCCTACGATCTATCAAAGATTTTAATAATCTAGATACGTGCAAATTGTTATTCTGTGCCCTTGTTAGATCCAAGCTTGAATATGCCTCAATTATATGGTCCCCTAATTATAATGGGCACGTTTTAACTTTAGAAAAGGTTCAGCGACGTTTCCTTAAGAGTCTTCATTATTATTTTCATGGAACTTACCCTGAGAGGGGATACCCACAAGACCAGCTTTTAACAATGTTTGGAATGCAGAGCTTATTTCAACGAAGAATTATATCTTCAATTATTTTCATTTTTAAAATAGTACACCATTTAATTAAATGCCCAGCTTTATGTGCTCAGCTTAACTTCCTAGTTCCAAGAATTAATTCCAGGTACAGCTGCACATTCATTCTTCCCACTCCCAGAACAAACTTATTATGTCAGTCTCCATTGTACCATATGCTGTCCACGGTTAATGACTCGAGTAAAGAAATTGATCTATTTTGTACTACCATCTCAAAGATTAAAAAACTTTATTCCTGATTTATATCCATATATTCCTAATTAAAATATTTAATGTAATGTAAGTTAGTGTAATTAAGTTTTTTATGTTTTTGTATCTAATTTCATCTTTATATATTAGTTGTTTCGCATGCGATATGTGTGAGTAACCTTTTTTCTCCACTTGAGTTGTTTTCAGATTACTCATACAATCTCATTTATAGTTTTACTTTAAAATTTGTTTTGCTTTTATTGTATTATTTACAAATATATGTCTATTAATGTTAAGTGCGCATTCTGTAATAGGCCTTGGCCGTTGAATGTAAGAATAAATAAAAAAAAAATAAAATAAATATAATAGATGTTTCAAGTCCTCTTGCATCAGATGCGGCAAATAATGATTCATCCATTTTTAATGTCATAGCTTTGAATGATAACGGATTTGTTACATTTTTTCGCGAGAATGACAACATTATTTATGACCGAGGATACAGAGACTGGACTGGTTTATGCCAAAATATAGGTATAAACGTTTTTATTCCACATTTCCTACCAAATGGTCAATGATAACACAACAGGCTAACGAATCTCGTCTGGTCACCATGCTTAGATGGGTAGTCGAAGCAGTATTTGGTCGATTACAGAATAAGTTCAGATTCTTACGGAATGTAGTTCCCAACAGTTATACATGTGAAACATTATCAAACATATTCCAAGTGCCATGTGCAATTTCAAATGCATTCTTTCCAGCTATAACCAAAAAAGGTGCAGAAGACGATGTATTCTGCAATCGTGTTTTAGAACTCATTAATAGGCCGAATAATTTACTAGAAAGAGTCATGGAAGAAAATCTATTGAGACGTCGCATCAATTGGCCACTTGTGGATGGTTTCTTGGATCTTCAAGATTTTCCAGTTCTAACACAGAATAAAATTCAAGACTTGACTCATCGAACCTATCAGATTTGGTTAGCCTATTGTTACAGTTCAGCGCACCTCAACAACGGCCAGTATTTAGTGAGACTGCATCTTGAACCTGCAGGAAATGGTCAGCTCCGACTAATACTAGCCTCAATACCTTCTAGATTTCAAGTTGCAGAAGAAAGAAAGTGTTTCATTCAATACAACACCACATTGTTGGGAATTAACAGTATTACTGGGTGGGCCTCTTTATGTAAATCTGGGGCAAGAGTTTTAGGTATGTGTGGTCATGTCTGTTCCGTTATATGGTTTTTATCATATGGCAGACACCATCCTGAAATAAATTATCCATTAAGAGATAAGGCAGATAATGTGATTGACGTTAGACGATAGCATCTGTGCTCATTATCAGATATTCTCTTAACCATAGATTTAGTTTAGCCACAATACTTATGAAAAGGTAGAGTGGAGTCCCTGTAGCCCCGCTGTCGTGACTCATTCTAATTTTAAATTAATATTATTCAGTCAATAATCTTCTTCTGTTGATGCCAAATCAGGTCTTCCCTCCCCTAACGTTGGTAATTATATTGGCGAGTTCGCTATTTTCGTCTAATCTAAACAATTCGTCGCCCTTATCACGAAGTGACCTAACCAACAAAAATTACAAAAGGTTTTTTTTGTGCGAATTAACTAGTCTTGACCTTATTTATCATCTAACAAAGTGGCACATCTACAACCTTAATAGTGCATGCAATACAGCATATTATTTCTGTGTCCTATTTGCATAAGGACTAACGATATGAGAATTACGTATTTTCGTTTTATTGCTGTAAAAATTACTATTTGTCACTTATGCCACTTCGTGATGAGGGCGACGAATTGTTCGGCACTGCGTATTTCAGTCCAATTGCAAATGTTCTTTAGCCATGACATCTGCTTCATTTCAATTCCTCTGCGGCCCACGATTATCAGTGCTCAAAAATGCTGAAAAATGGAAAAATAACTTCCGTTAGGACATAATTTAGTTATTTCAGCAAAATATGGATTGAACATTGTTTAGAATACTTACAAATTATATATTCATTTCTGATGGGAGTATGTACAGAAAGAAAGTATTCTCAACTTGTACTAAGTGCGGTCCTGTGCCTACTACATGCTTGTAAATCAGAAAATGGTATTTTAAGTGATGGCACCATTTTGGAGTATGCTAACAATAATATAGTCGACTGTAAGTCACAAGCAGCTGTACACTATCTTAATACATTGCTACTCCTATTATTTTTCATCTGTCAATTGAATCAATTCAAAAAATCTAAAATAATTTTGTATTAAAAAATAACTATAGTTTTTTTGAAATTGAAAATGTAAACCATCAAATTCTTATATTGTTTTCCGGTAAGAGCAGAGAACAATACTACAATCTTAATTACTTACATTCTTGTTAATATTTAGTAAACGTTCATCGTTTGCTATTGGATATCACAGCTTAGTACAGATATTCAAATGATTTGGGGCCATTTGTCTAGGAATAATAAAGCTTGGAGTACTCAGCTTTCATGTTTTACAAAAACACTATATAAATTATAATAACTTGCAAGCTTGCTAACAAATGACAAATTAAAAATAAGCATTATTCATTACTCACCTCGACAGTGTAGAACTAAATGTAGAACTAAAATGCTGATACCTGATACGTTTTTTATTAACTGTATCCTGTATCTTAATACTGGCAGGACCTACTGGAGCTTTTATTTAACGTTAAAATAAACTCTAGATTTAGGACGAATTGTGTTTTATGTTTTGGTTAATAAGTTTATATTTCTCTGTGGCTTACATGTACAAATTGTGAAACACATATTAACTAATACATTATCACTTGGTAAACATGTGCCACCAGTCAAATATCGGCCCACATGATAGCCGGCCGCCATGTTGCCGAATCCTCCTTGTCAGTGCTTGTAATTATGTAATTATAAAAAAAGTATGTTTTAAAGAAAAAAATGTTGGGAAATACATTTTTTTTTTTAATATCGTTTAGTGCGAAAAATTTCGCACGGGGTCGCAAAAAAACCAAAAAACGATACCCTCCTTGTCCTTAGTTGGACAGCATTATCAACTTCATTAAAACAGTTGTCATCCAAATTTTTCAAAACATAATGATGCCGTATAAGGAGGATGAGCTGAAAAGACTGGTGACTGATACTTACCTGAAATAAAGTGTCAACGAAGCAATTTATGAGCGGTTCAGTAGTATTAGTAAACGTATAAATATTAACAAAATCATTATCGTTAAGCGTATCCAATATTTGATTAACAATTTGATCGGATACCGCTCTCCTAGTACCGATCATAGATCCTGATCTATCTAAGACGATTATTATATCCTTTGGAGATGTAAAAGCTTCGGTGTACCAAGTCCTAAGTCTAAAATCGTAGGTTTGCTTATATTGTTCTTCAGACCAATGAACAGCTACAATAGTTAAACATAAAAAGTTAGAATGGAATACATTTACAAAGGTAGGATTGAATAAATGAAAAAATACTTACCTGGATAATGCCGCATGAATCCTTTAGGACTAGCGAAGTATTGCCAAGTTAGTGTAGGATCGTTTTTAAGGTTTTCTTTAAATACCAAATCTAATGCTTCTGACCATCTTATGCCTTCTAGCACTTCTTGTTCTACAAAAAATAACAGAATTTATATCATCTTAAATATCAACAAAGAAAAAGATCCTTAAGCAAAAACTAGATAAAATTATGATCCGTATTCGAACAGGAAAAGCAGCAGGAGTAAATTATATACTAATACGAGTATACAGGGTGTTTCAAAAAGGTATGTCATAAATTCTTCTTCAGATACAAAGTTAATTTTTCTATAAAAAAAAATTAAAAATTCATAGTTCTTTTTGATTTTACGATCGATAAAGCAAGTTTCTTTATGTCAAAAAAAATACGGGGGGGTTAAAAGGTACCCACCCTCCCAACTTTTTTAAGGGGGTCGCTTTAATTTTTTTCTCTTTAGAATATTGGGCGTTCAAATCTACAGCACTGGTAAAAAATTCAAAGAAAACATCGCAACAGCAAACTTTTACAACAAAACAACGTTTTTTTAAATGTTAGTTTAACGCCCTGTAACTTTGTTAGGAGCTAGTTTTTGATAAAGGTAAATATAGCCAAATCCACTTATTTTTTGGTAATCTATCTGAGGAAGAATTTATGACATACCTTTTTGAAACACCCTGTACATTAATGTGGAGCGCTGTATCGAAATTTGTTAAAATTGAACAAAATTGGAATTAAAAAACTCAAGATGTCGTGATTGTTGAGTTTATGAGAATCCTCAGAAAGGTTTTTTCATATGATTTATTCAAATTTGCTAGAAGATTATTTTAATTTAATTTATTTTTGAAAAAGTTAAAAATAGAGAAAAAAAAATTTTTTTGTTACAAAATTTGGTAGTAATTTTTTGTAAATTTCTTAGATAACCGAACCACTTTTTTGAAAAAAGTAATTGAAAATTAAATTCTTGTACTAGATTTCTAGATTTTTTTATATTAAATGTCGCCACCCAACGTGGGGCAAGAATTATATTTTTTGGGTAAATTTGAAATTTCTGAATTTGGGTAAGACTTTTGATAGTTTTTTACATTTCAATTGTTTATTTTGTTGCAAGGAATAGTATATTGTCTCTATTGTATGGAGGGTGGATTAGATAATTAAAGATCAGAGACATTTGTTGTTGAAGTGTACTTTTGCATGGAGACGTGCATGGTAAATAAATAGTAGAAATTAACGTGAAAAGGGGTAAAAAGTTTGAGAAAGTCTGGGAAATTGAGAATAGGTGCAATAACATTAAATTTAAAAGTACTATATAGACAAATTTGACGATAAAATTTGTGAATGTGGAACATGTAAAAAGTTGTAAAAGGTTAAAAGTAGTAGATTAGATGGTACTGCGAGGAGGAAAGAAGATTGGTTTGATGAAAGCACAGAAGAGAGATGAGAGCGTAGTACTAGTATGATAAGGGGATGTGAAACAGCAAGATTATTAAAAGAAAAATGGAGAAGCAAAACAAGAACTGCAGGGAAAACGGGATAATAAAGAAACAACCATGTTAGGAAATAAGATTGTCAAGAATCAAGAGAAGAAAGAAGGAATAAATATAAAAGTGTCTTTTTTAATATAGGGAGAAATGTGAGAAAATAGAAAGAAAGATAAGAAATAATCATTGAAGAAAATTGACATGAACATGGATGAAAATAGTAGGAAAATGGATAAGAAATAAAAGAAAACAAAAAGGAGGATAAGAAACTTATGATTAATATATATTATTATATAATCAGACTGAGAAGAGCAATAAGAAGTTATAGGAAAATTGGAAATATTGGAAATAAGATAAAGAAGAAATAATTAAAAAAATAGATAAAATTATAGACGAAGTAACAAAAAAATCAAAGAAAAGGATGTAAATTATAAAATGAAAAATAAAAGATAATTTAGAATTAATAAGGAAGAAAGAGATATAGAAGTGAATAATATAAAAATTGAATAAGAATGAAGAAGTAGAAAAGGCAAAAATAGAAAAAGGAAAATAAGGACAGATTCACAATGTAAAAAAAGAAGTAAACATAAATAAAATTAGTAAAAAAAAGAAATCATAAAGAACTAAAGATATTCTAAAAGATTTGTGGCAATATAAAAATAAAATTAGAGTAATACTAAAACAAATAGAGGACAAAGAAATTAGTAATAAAATAATAGATAAAAATAAAATTTATATTAAAATAAAATCAATCTAGATCTAAAAGGAATATGAAAGGAAAAATGAAATGGGAATAAAATCAAAAAGTTGCAGAAGGAGTATAAAAGGAAAATTAGATTAGATAGGGAAGAAACCGGGATAAATAATAATGTAAGATTTGTACCTCTTTGATATACATTCAGGGCCAACTTGGCTATGCTAAGATCCAAGTTAACGTCCTCTTCGAACTTGGGATCAAATTTGAGAGGAAGATGTTGATAGCTCTTTGGAGGTCTATCTTTTTCTGGCAAGTGAAGGCAATTGCATTCTTTACCTTCCTCGTTGTCTCTGGGAGCGAAAAGTTTATTTCTTCTTGCCGGATCTCGGAAAATGTTGTTCTTCAATTGAGATTTATAGGGTTGTTCGCATTTCCAATGACACTCGTTCTAAAATTAAACTTGAGATAGGTCACTGGCATATAGGGGTTATTCTAGATTACCCTCTAAGTTACCCCATAATTACAGAATATACGAATCAGAATATTAATTTGCAGTCAACAGCGATAATAAATAATTCCTACTTATATACATATTTGCAAGTATTTAACTCGTGTTTAATATTAGACATACTGCGATTTATGTTTTACACGGTTGCCACACTGCAAAATAAATGGTGTACTGTCATCTAAATCACTTTTAGCTACAATAATAGTTGAACGCAGAAAAATACTTTAAACAGATTATAAGATTACAGTTTGGTTTCACTAATATTTCAGACCAATAGATTTAGAACATTATGTTAAAAAAATGCCAAACAATCCTTGTAACAAGACTTACTTATAATAATTTGGAAACAACGTGTATAACACCGTAAATGTTTAAAATTCGATTGGTCTAAAACTTGTTCGTCGTTGTTTGCAATGGAGAGGAGAGCCTGTGTTTCTAATATCGTTTAATATTAAGCTGCCATCATAGAAAACTAGAGACGATTAACTTCTTCTTCTTCTTCTTTTCATACGTAAAATTAATTGACATTTAGATACAAAATGTATCAGTATCAACTGTTGTTTATCTTTGTCATGTATATTATTTTCTTATAATGTAATCTCATTTTCGCAAGCCGTAAGATGGAGGTAAATGTGGCTCACGGTTCCTAGACTGAACCGGTGTCCTTATGACGGTTGCTAAAAAAGGAGTGACGTCACGAAATGAAAAAGTGAGTTGACAGAAAATATTCTACTTGGTCGGTACATTAGTTCTGTAAAAAATCTAATATTTTATTGTTATTTAGTGGTGTATTTTTTTTTGTTAAATATAGTCTATTATTAGAGTTTTTATATTATCAGTACTAATTATTATCGCAAGCGAGGGTGGTCGTTGAAATATATATTTTTTATTTTTAAGTTGTATATAGTTAGCCACAATATATGTGTCAATATTATCTGGCTAGTAAAATATTCCTTATAAGCGCAAGTGACGATTAAAGCCCGTCACTTGTGGCTACCGATTACGTGGGTCTACGTAATCTTTGACCCATGGAGACTACACAAGGAGCACGCACTCAAGTGTGGCATTTGCCAGAGTATGTCCGCGCTTTATCGTATAAATAAAGCTTTCTTTTTTCACCACTAGCGTCGCTAATTTTTCTTTTGTACCGGTGTGAATATAGAGGAAGGAATAAACAAATGTGAAGTTAGCGTGAAAATAAAGTAACCAATTATTTAATTAACGTAAACATGTGTCAAATGTTTTTAAATTAAATAAATATAATTAGAGTTATAATTAATTAATTAATTAATTAATAATTAATTAGAATTATTTATTAATTAATTAATTAATTAATAATTAATTAGAATTATTTATTTTATTTCAAACTACCGCCTCATTCTCTTATGCCATTTTGGTACTTATGGAACACTAGCGCCCTCTTAAAATACTCTGTTTAACACAGTACGCTTGTTATACATGGAGTGCGTGCTCCTTGTGTAGTCTCCATGCTTTGACCCCTGGAATTTTTCATCTCCATCTCTAGCTACCTAAGTATTTTAAACGCAGCACATGAACCGTGAATATAGCTGGTAATGTTCCAGCAGTGCTGCCGTTGTTTCGATTTATCTAAAGTTGTTTTTTTGACATTTAAACAATAATAATGTTATTTATAAATAAGTATTACTTGTATTATTGTGATCATAATTTATTTTTAACTTTTTAGAAATTTATCGCATAATTGTGTACAAAGATCAAAAATAAGAAGCTTTGAGTAGCTAGACTAGGAAATGTATGCTAGTGCATTAGTACTAGAATAAAATAATTTTGGCATGCCACTACAGCATGAGTATTATACTTTGACGACAGACAGATTGACGAATCTAACGATGAAGCCAGTTTATCCTTGTATTGTCGTTTTATTCTCATTTTACTTATCTATATCCTGTTTGAAATTTACCTTGGTATTGTTTGTCTTTTATTAGTTGCATAAGGTAAGTTGGGGTAGGATCGTTTTCGGGGTAAGAGCATCATCACGTTAAATATTTATTCCTGTTAGACATAGGCCCGCCTTCTTTGTCAAAAATTCTAAACTATAGTTCACTGAAGCTACCCTATTTAAATGGCAACACCGCCGTTCAAGGTTTGCTGTCAGTGAGTACCAGAACATAACGTGTTTGTGATATATCGTCGAACGAGTTGGTAAGAAATTTTTCAAATTTTTTCTTTTTTTATTAGTTGAAATAAATATTAATATTTTGTCAGTTGTTTATATAATTTGTTTGGATACTATGCAGCATGAAAAATATATTTATTAATTTATATTCTAAAAGTTAAAGATGGTGTCGCACTTACTCCAATTTTTTTACTGAAAGGGAAAGTACGTCACTTACAATACGCACTTACCCCGTTTGTAGCGAACAACGTAATTATATTTTAGGTTTCAAAAATATAAAAATGGTGAGAAAATATAAAAGAAAATCAAATAGGGCCACTGCTTATACCAAAGAAAATTTAATAACTGCGTTAGAACATATTATATGTAAGACAATTAGTATAAAAAGAGCCAGTATTGTCTATCAAATTCCCAGATCGACATTGACTGATCATTTGGCAGGAAGAAGAGGAGTAAAGAGTAAAAGTTTAGGAAGAAATACAGATATAAGTTTGGTAAATCAAGAGAACATAGGAAAGTGTTTAAGAATCATGGAGAAATGGGGATTCAGACTATCTCGTTCAGGGTGTCGATTCTTGAGATCACATGATGTGATAGATGTTTAGAGGAAGTGATAATTCACATACCCCGTTTTAGTCACCGGTGAATCAAATCCTTTATTCTTGAATATAAGGGTCAGGGAGAATTTAGTATCCATTGTTGTCACGATCTATAAGATACATTTGACCTATTTATTTAATGACATTCTGATTTTTTGCTATCAGCTGTCAATAATCGAATGAATCATTTTTAAATTTGTGAAGCCGAGACGAAAATTTTAAATTTCATTTACAATAATAATGGATACGACACACAAAAAAAATTTGGGTGATCGAGATTCAAAAAAGAAACAATTCTAATTCAATTTATACAGAACCATCCGAATTTAAATGATGGGAAATTAATTTACGCAATTTACCCATCTTTAATCTTCAACATTTGGATAATTTATCTAAATATTAAATCTTCATCATCATCGCAATTTGCGAAGAATGCCTTTGTATTATTTTTTAAGTATAAAATTAAAATTGTCTGTTTTTTAATTTAAAGATTCCTTTACCCCATACTAACGTCTAACGTCATTTCAATCTATCAATATAAGCATGCGTGTGAAAGGATTTTAAACGATGGGAACCGCTTCTCTTACTTTAAACCAAGTGACCGATATACGCTTGATTTTTAAGAGAAGTAACAATTTCAAAAATGGGTTTAAATGACTGTTCCACTAAAAAAGTAATCCCTTCTCTTGAAATGATAGATCATATGTTTTGAGAATCGACGCCCAGAAGTGAAGGTATTGGTGAATACGTGAAACGAAAAAAAGCAGAGAGTGTCGAAATTGCCCGTCGAAGATGTATGGACCCATTTATTATCTATGATTACTTTGAAATTCTTAAAGGCATTCTTTTAGAATTGGGTATTATGGATAAACCAGAGCATATATGGAACCTAGACGAAACGAGTTTTTGTACAGAACCCCTAAAAACCAAAGTAGTGGGAGCAATTGGAGTGCCCTCTACTCGGTTCTGTGTTGCCAGCGCTGCAGGACAAGAAGCAGTGCCTTTAATAGTGTTTAAGGGCAAAGATATAGATGATGAATGGACGGCTCCAGAATCAGATGAAGGTAATCCTAGTGTAGCATATGCTGCCACTAAAAAGGGGTGAATGGAAACACCAGTTTTCAAAAACGGTTACAAAAATATTATTTAAAACATTTGGTGAATGACGCTCCATATTAATAATTTACGATGGCCACTCTACCCACGTTGGCATATAGTTAATTGAGGCAGCAATAATAGAAAATGACGTCATATTAAAACTACCCCGGCATTCCAGCTATATTCTGCAACCCCTTGATAAAGAGGCTCTTCAATTCATTGAAATGCTCATGGGATGCCAAAATAGTGAAACGGCAACGAATGAATCCTGGAAAGAAAGTATTAAAAAATCCTTTCCGACATTTATAGGAAGAGTCTAACCCAAATTTAATAGTTAATGGATTTAGGAAAGCAGGGATTCATTCATTTCATGACAAGGTTATCATCAACGACAAATTCGATCCAGCTGTTTTCAAAAGATCATAGCAAAAAGGAGTTATTACATAAAACTAGAGGCTGATGGAGAAGATTTTCTACCTGCAGCAGTACCCGTACTATGTTCAACTGCAGCTACTGTAACTATGGATGTATTAACTCCGTTAAAAGACGTGACGAATCAATATTTAAATCCTGAACCTAGCAACAGTGAAGGTACAAAATCCAAGTTTCGTTTGAAGAACTGCTTTAATCCACATTTAAAGCGAAGAAAGATGATCAGGAATTTCAAAAACAAAAAACAAAAATAAGAGTCGCACCTGCAGCAGATATCATAACTAGAACAGAAGTAGTAAAAAGGTTAAAAGAAGCAGCAGACAAACAGGTTATGAAAGCTACAAAGGTACCAAAAAGGGGAAAAAAGCTATAGAAAGCAGCAAAAAAAAAAGAGTATTGATCAGAGTGAAAGTAAATTAGAGTGAAAGTGAATCAGAAAATGAAAATTAAGTAAACCTTTGCAAGGAAGAGTTTGAGGATGACGAATCATTATCATATTTGGTGAATCATATGGAAAACGTACATAATGAATTTAATAAAATTGTAAGAGATCGTTCAACTTTAAAGAAAGAAGACTGGGTTTTAGTGGAATTTGCCCAGAAAAAAACTTTAAAACAATATGTTGGCAAAGAATAGCTAGAAAAATTAAGACTTCT